CAAATAGCTGACAAATTGAACAGGTACCAATATACGTGCTACAAATGAGATCAGATGGAATGAAACAATTTAATCAGAAAGAAGTCAGGATGGCTAAAATAGCTCTTAAGAAGGTTAAATCTAAGCGTCCTTGCCTTTCAAAATAATAAAAAAAAATGACAAAGATGTATTTATAAACTGACAATTTATTGCCATTACTTTATTACATTAAAACTAATGGATAGCATTTAACATATAAAGGGTGTTCAGACACTGTACAAGTTGTTAAAATAATTAAAAGCAATATGTTAGAACTGAGGTATGTTTTTTTTACTTGACCTTATCACTGGATACCAGATTAAAAATAATGCTCCACACAAAATATATATATATAAAATGTAATTTTTAAGCTTTAGCCCTTTTAGTTAATAAAGGGCAAGTTGACTTTTTAACTGATCTGTGACAAATCACTTCAGAATAATTTTTTGACAGTCAAGAATTCTGAAAATCACTGCAGGACATTTTTTATGTTGATCAAATATACAGCTAATTTCTGTCTCTGTACTGCCCAAGCACAAATGTTTGTAATCATTCATCTTACAGGTATATCTGATGCATAGACGTCTCTGTCAGTTACAACTACGTAGAGCTTATGAATTTTATAATTGAGGCTTTTTATACTGCCACATCTAAAATATCTTTAAAATACTGAATGCAACCAGCTTGTTTCTTTTTTCATTATGGTGTATTTATTATGGTGAGTTGAACTGGAGCAGGACAAAAGTCTAGTTCTAAAAGCAGACAAGTCTTGAGGAAAATAAGATGCCCCTATACATGCTGTTTCTGAAATAACAGCTCCAGTTTTTGTGACCACTACAGGAAATCCCCATCTTGAAAAACAAAAACATTACATTCCTGAAATACAGTACATTGTACTAATATTTTATCAAAGTTATTCAGCACTGTACTTAAGAGGTACACTTTGACGTCTAATGTCACCCAACGTCTTATCAGAACCACCACCAGTTCCCCCAAAATGCTGAGCTGTTATTGCTTTTTTTAATTACATCAAAATATAACAGGAAAAAAAAATTGTGCAATACAAATCATATTTTTGTCCTCTACACTTTCTACAAATTACATACAAGTCTTTTGTCTGTTAATTCTCGTGTCAACATCAGGTCAGATTGCATATCCAGAGCATTAGGCATTCAGAAATTTATGTACAGTATATAAATATATTATGCAAAGAAACAAGTAATAGGTTTATTCCATGCTGAAAAAAAGAAGAAGGAAAACAACGTTTCAGCCGCGGAGCCCTCTTCAGGTGTGAGGTGTGACGCGGCCGAAACGTTATTCTCTTTCTTCTTTTTTCAGCATGGAATAAACCTATTACTTGTTCCTTTGCAGCCTACAGATGCGGACGCAGCTCCCCACCTGAACTACTTTAAATATATTATGTCTGTTGAAAGTTGAAGCTATAGTTGTATTCCCTTCTGATAGTATCCTGAGGAGGACATTAATTATCTCCATATAACAATAACAGAAAGATTAATTCTAGTGATGATTGTGGAGTACTCCTACGTTCGTAATGTCATTTTTATAAAGCCCAATGCACATATGCAAGCACACATTATACAAGGATTATACAGAAATAATTGATTTAAAAAAATGATAAGGATATCAATTTCAGAAATTACCTGTTTCAGAATTACACAACAACCCCCCCCCCCCCCAAAGATGGTTAATTTACAAACACTATGGTTGAAACTTCAGGGAAATACATTTTTATGAGAAATAATGGTAAGCATTGCCTGTTTTAAATTTGTTACAGCAGTGCTATATTAAAATTCGAAGAGATTAACGTTTCAAAGTGTGGGACAACGTTACTGCAATTGACTGGACATGGAGAACAAACTAAATTACTGCTTGCGACTTAATATATTAAAACACAAATATTTAAGTGTGTATGTTAAAACAAAATCAAGCCTGATTTTTGTCTCCAATACAGTAACTGTCATAAGAAGTATTAAGGATGATTGGACTATTTTGCAGATTATTGTATAGCCATTGAGCATACTGATCCCCATTTCATAACTTAAGTGATTTTATAGGAGGCGATATAAACTGAACCCAAGCCCTTCTTTGAGTGAGAGGTGTTAGATGGCCGAGACTTACTATGTGTAACAGTGCCCTAACATGATAATAAAAACACAAGGTAAGAAATGAATGGCCAGTCTAGGAGACCAGCTCAGTATATTGATGGAAATATTTTTGTAGTATCCAGCTGGCAAAAGAAACATGCCATCATAGTATCTTGATGCATTAGGTATGGAAGAAAGATTATCCCTGGTTTAGCTTGAGTTTAGAGAGCAGTTTTGTTCTGGATAGGGCCTTTTGTTTTTGATAAGAACAGCAGGATCTTTTCATATATTGAAGATGTCTCTTCTGGGTAGTATCATAATTTGTCATGCACAGACATGGGTACATCTTATTTCTGGGCTGGGGCTAGGTAGTAAATATTTGTAAATAGTATACATTTTCTATTTTGGTCCAAGTATTTGTCAATTGATGCTGGTGTTTTCTAAGCTGTTGCCAAATAACCTAGTAGAGTGTTATTATACATACTCTAGTCTGACATATTTGCTTTCTAAGGAACAGTCCATACTGAAAAGAAAGGTGCGTCACCTGTAGAAGGCCTTAAGGCCACACCTGAAGAAGGCTCCACAGCCAAAACACGTTTCTTTCCTTCTCTTTTCAGCATTTTCCTTTGCAGCCTATGCAGGCTGACGGAGCTACCTACTTGAACTACAGTGTTTGCTTGCCATGCCAGCTGGTGTCAGAACCTGATTCTTAATTTTACCTTATTTTACCCCCCCCCTCTTTATTAGAACTCATCATAATACATCACACAAACCTCCTAGATTTGTAAAAATATTTCTGATTTAAGAACATCTATTACTGGCTTATCTGGTGTCAAATTAGTGGATGTGAACTCTGTACAAAGGGACACTCAAAAACACAGTTCTGATTTCTGATATTTGTGAAGATCTGTCTTATTTTTAAGTTTCATAACGTACGGGGGTTGCCATCTGATGGACTAAAGTGCCATCAAGTGTGTCTCCAGTCCTGCTTTGTGCTTCTACAATAAGCTCTTGGTTTCTGTGTCCCTTATCAGGACTACGAAGTTCTGGTAATGGATAGAGGTGAAGGGGAATTGTATCAACACTTATTTGAAAACCTAGAATTTTATTAGCGTTTCAGCATATTGATATTCCTTTACCCAAAGTCATTCTAGAACAGATGCTGTTCAGATGAAAAAAATAAAGAATATGTTGTTCACCTTGTGAGTATATTTAAAAGAGGTGCACGCCATGGCCTTTGGACTTTACAATACCATGTTGCATAAGATTCTGTAAAATCACATAAGGCTATCAAGAACGCTCAACACCAATATAGCTACAATACAGGGACATTCTTCTTCCTTTAGTAATGAAATATTACAACAAAAAAATATATACAGGTTATTGTGTTTCTGACAGACCTGTAAATGTAATTCCCTCCTTCTTCTTAGAGCAGCTTATATAATGCAACTGAACAAACATCTGAGCGCCAAAACACAGCAGCAATGATTTCTCACAAAGGTAATATAGCACATAAAAACAGAAAAGTAAAATCTAGTAAAAAGTGAGCAGGACCAGTCTGTACAGAACAGCCTTACAGTCCATTGTAAATCCTTTCATTTACAGGCCGGAAATCCCTGTCACCAGCCTTCATCTTGTACCCTTGTCCAGTTTGTCCAGACTGTGTTAAAGCCACCCTGTTACAGAAGTATGAGGTGACATCACTACAATTTCCATCGTGTTGTTTGGATATCTTAAAAAATAAGCATGCTGTTTATAAATTAACCATCAATAAAAACACACTTGCTATAAATTATCCCCCTTGTAAAAAATATATCTTAAAAAATGATAAACCATTTGGGAAACAAAGTCCAAGTTTTTTTTTTGCTCTAAATCTATTTACAGAATAGCTATTATAGAACAGAACCTCATCCACAAATATGTGGGTATGCCGTCTAAATAAAATTTACAACACTTAAAATCAAAATATAAATTCATTTTAGGAAAACAAACATGAGAACATTTTATGTTTGTTTATTTTATGAGAACATTTTATGCTGAAATATTGAAAGTCCAATTGAAAATAAGTATTTCTACAGGGGTCATGTTGCCTTTATGTATGACAGTTTTTTTGGATAGCAAACCTGAAGACATTTCCTGTCCCTTCGATTGTGCAGACTGAAAAAGGCAAGGAGTTTCCTTACAGTGTCTTTGTGAAAGATGTATTGCTTCCAATTGATTTCAAACTTCCTGTAAACAGCTGCCAGGGCTTATAGTGTGTCAAAAGACAAATGACAATTCCACAATGACAAGAAGATAAAATAATAACTGGCAATTCTAACTTAAAACTCTGAAAATCACTACACTTAACACAGCAGTATGAAAAATTATTAGTGCATCCCAAGATTCTTGGGTGCATCCACGCTGGACTGCATTTGTGTCACACACAATTAGGGAATTGGGTAACTCAATTACATACCACTGTGCTTTGTTAATATATCTTATCTGCGCAGAAAAAAACCCTCCAAATTGCTGTAGTCTGTTCTGAGTCTTCAGGATAGGACTGTTCCCAGGTCAGGACATAGTTACTAGCTATTCATTTTCTTTGAAAGGCATTCCAAGCAGTTCAACTAGCATGGGCAGCCACCTGAAGTACAGGCATCACTAGGTTGAGAGTGAAACTTATTAATGAGACATGATTCTTCTCCATTCAGTGTGAATTCACTTCTCAGGTGCTAAAGAGCTCACAATGTTGGCTCTGCAGGGGTCAGAGGAACACATCAAGGAGTCTGTCTCCCCAAAACAGGTACAGACGTGGTTGATTAAGAGTAGGGTCTTCAAACTAGTGATTCCAAACTATCTAGGTACATCATAAAAAAATCCAAGTTCAATTTTTATCTTTTTTAAATGGATTCAGAGGTATTTTGAACTCATAAAGGAAATAAGACGGTAATGGAAGGCTGGAGGAATTTCATGGGCACCTTCTGAAAAACCAATAAGAAATACAAAACTCAATATAAAACTTTATATTATCAGGGCTGCACAACTTCTAGTACAAAATGGAACAGCTATTTACAACAAAATCAGTTGTATTATTAGGTTTTTCCACTTTGAAATATGTAAAAAAAAGTGTTTATGTTTGTCGCTAAAATCCCATGTTTTCCAAACGTATCTTCGGGTTTGTCTAGGGAAAAAGAAGAAAAATACAATGTCACGATGATTAACTTACTACAAATAACATGCCGTATTACAAATACTATACAAAACATACTACACATAACAGAAAACATTTAATAAAAATTCAGAGGTCATAAACAATAGTTTTACAATTTTATCTAAGAAAAAGTACCGCGACAATATTTTCAAAGAGAATAGACAGCACATTCATAAATGACTATGGAACTGGGCGAGAGACTATCAGAATACATTTGATAACGGAGAGAAGTGAAGACGATTTCGTGATGCAGGGATGTTGTGTCAACTAAAAGGAAAGAGAGACTGATCTGAAGTGGCACGACTGAAAACAGAAAAAATATTAAATTGTGTTTTATGCTCCCAGTAAGAGCTGTCTCCTCTTCCCTTGAACCAGTCTTTTGATTCATTGTATTATTTCAATTTTTTATTACCAGTGTCAAGAACTGATCATAGGAAGCTTATGCAGAACATTGCCACATTTGCAGCTGTTCTTTTTACGACTTTATACATTTATCTCAACAGAATAGCTGCTGTCAGTTGGTATCAACAAGATGGAGGAGATACAGGCTACAAAAACATTTACTTGAAAAAGAAATTACAAAACACCGATCTGCACATCCTTTACTTTGGCAGTCCTTGTGTTTTAAAGGGTGATTCTGATGTGAATCAAAGTTTAAAAAAAAGTACATAAAGGCCAACTATTACATTCCTGTAGCAATCCATGCGTTTACAATTGGAACAACTCTTAATAAGGATTAGTCCTATTAAACAGTGTAATACTTAATTCTGTCAGACATAAAACCCAGAACCTAACTTTGTACAGATTCCCATAATGATCTGCTTTTTAAAGAATGATTTTGGGTCCCGAATATCCTTTTAAGTACAGAAATTTATATGTTGAAGGTGTGTGACACCAACAAGACTCTGCCTAGATCAAGCTGTCCCTCCAAACTGGATACCTGAGCAAGAAGGAGACTGATCAGAGGCTACCAAGAGGTGAATGGTAACATTGAAGGAGCTACAGGCTTTTATGGCCAAGACTGATCAAAGAGTGCATGTGTCCACAATATCCCAAGCACTCCACAGATCTCGCCTGTATGGCAGCTGGACAAGAAGGAAGCCATTACTGAAAACCAAAAAATATTATATGATACTATATTTTTATTTGATACTGCAAACATGTGACAAAACATTTTGTGGTCCAATGAAACTAAAATCGAAATTTTTGGCCTAGATGCAAGGCATTATGTCTGGAGAAAACCAAACACAGCACATCACTCAAAGAACACTGTCCCTACTGTGAAGAACGGTAGTGGCAGCATCATGTTATGGGGATGCTTCTCATCTACAGGGACTTGTCAGGACAAGGACAGGGAAATTTAATGAAGCAAAGTATAAAAAAGTCCTTAAAGGGATAACTTGCTACCCTTCTACGAGAAAGCTGAACTGAGACAGATATCCACCTTTCAGCATGACAACAACCCAAAGCAAACAGCCAATGCCACAGATTTTTAATTGCTTAGTCACAGTGTCTACATTAGTTCAAAGTAGAAGCTACGTGAACAGCTGTGAATATCCAAGACAATGTTATTCATTTGCCAAATATCTGCTAAATCCAAGATGTTTTGCAATTCCTTTGATGCTTTTCTTTTCCTCATTCTTATATCATCTGCAAATTTGAATACTCTGCTTATTAGATCAGAATCTATATCAGAAATCGAATTACTGATATAGATCAAGAAGAGAAAAAAGCTTATACTAGATGCTTATACTATTGTACATGTTTTGGTAGTTACACATTACCCTGATTTCAGGAAGTTAGCAAGGTGATTAAGACGGAGAACGCCACCTCACCTGTTATGAAAACAGCAAACCTTGCAGTGACATGTTGCACTTGCAACCGTAACAAGCAGCTGAAGTAGTCAGGTCGCTCTTGTGAAATCAGGTCACACTCATGGTATGGAAGAACTTCTACGATATCAGCTTCTTGACAGCAGTCTATGAAGTGTTGCTTGGTATGATCTTCTATGCTTGTTCTGTGGGAATTATAACATTTAACGTTTACTCTGTAAATGAAGATTTCAGAATTTGTTGAATTTAGAATGAAGAGGAGTAGGCAGACGACTCCCCCAGCCCACCCACCTTCAAGTAACTAATCTTTTAACACATCACAGGCAACAACAGCGCCAGCACAGTTTCAGCTCCGGCTGAGGCAACAACCCCATGCCGGCAGACACTGGGGAGGCCGCAGAGATCACTAAACCTGTGGTGCCTTGCAACTTGGGGAATCTCAGTCACAGTCGGCTAGTGACATGATCCAGGCTCAAACCAGACACCTGGTTTGTACGGCTAAACCTGTGCTCAGCTGAATGTCTTTACTGATCGACCCACTCCAAAGGCCACACATGATCATTTAAAAAAAAATATTTGCTGTTCTGGTGATTTCAGTTTTTGCTGAAGTTGTATCTACCCAAAAAAGTCAACAAGCCTTGTACAAACTCAGCAAACACAGTGGTACAGGAGCTTTAAAGTAAGGCTGGCATAAACAAACACTGGCATACTTCATCAAGCAACAATTCAAAAAGGACATCTGAAAACTCTGTAAAGGGTGAAAAATCCTCTCGGAACCAAATTTTACACAAAACAAACTTCACTACATTAATTCCTCACTATACATGAAACGAGATGTAGTAATTTATGCGAGATGTAGTAATTCCTACCTGTTTTTTAAAGTAACAAGCAGATTTTCACTCTTAAGAGCTGCGCTCTTGTAAAGCACTGCCATGATTCTTCTTTTCATACATCTACTTGGATAAGGAATTTACTTATGTTTTAACATTAAAAATAAAATATAATTTGTTGAGTGCATACATTACAGGATATTAATTAGTGCTCACGGATCTGATCACAACTGTAACAATGCACACGCAGGAGTGTTACCATTTTCCTACCTATTGATTATGCACCAACTAATACCTTTAAGCATTTTACTCGAATAATTAATCAGCCATGTTATTGTTTTCATTACAAGGTACTGTTCTGTGCTGTATTAAGGTGACATTTGGGTGTTTGAGGGAACATGTTTGAGTTCTGGAACCTATCAGGGAATATCACACAGGAAGTAATGGGAATTTAATTTCTGTTGTAAGAGTTTTCACTTTACAAGCAGTTTTTGAGGAACAAGTTTGTCATGCATAACAAGAGATTACTGTAAAATGCTTTTGTAGCAATTACACACAACTACTATAGTCAAGGAAGCTAAAGTAATTGTAACCACATAAAAACTGCCATTGATTCTGTTTTACCTTCCATTTTCTTTGAGCCTTCTGCAGTCTTTGTAGTGCAGAAACCACTTCCACTTTCCATTCTGACCCTGTTCCTCCAGGACGCTCACCATTTTCTTGAAATGATCTGTTATGGTGAAAGACAAAAACTCACAGAGTTAATAAAATCTCCTCGTATGTCTTATTTTCAGTCACCATCAATATCTTATTGGTTGCCAGTACGCTTTCTGAACCAGTCACATGGTTTACTGCAACTATAAAATGCTCAGCAGGAAATCCTGTCACTGATACCGATTCAAAAATCTGGGTTGAAACAACACAAAGATTACTGGTCGTAATGTATCAGAATAAGCACTATATCTATGCATGTTCCTGATTATTGAAAACACAATGACACTACAAATGTTTATTTAAAAATTGCACAAAATATTAATTTTAGCATATAAATACTGTTTGCAGTTAATGTTAAAAACATAACAGTAAAGGAATTAGTCAACAGTAATTTTGAAGGATAAAAAGATACCATTTACTGAAGAAAGTAATCTTGCTCTGAATGAAAATTAACCAGCTTGTGAAAACGTTAAGATAAAGGTAAAACTAACTACATTTCTAAATAATTCATCCAGTGTGGTAGTGCCTAGAAAAGCAAGAATTCTACTTAAAAAGGAATTCCTCTTTCCAAAAGAAATGGGCAAAGAGAGAAATTGAAAATGGGATTTGACAAACAGCCATTTAAATATAGAGGGGAAAGAACATACTTAGTTTTGCTCTTACACATAATCACAACTTGTAAACGGTCTCGGTCACTTTGCTGCCTGCTGCTCTCATACCTAGTGTTAGTGTGTCCAGCACCGCACCATCACACACCACAAACCCCCCTCTGGTGAACAGCTCCTGATAAGTGCAGTTCAGAATGTCGTCAGGGCAATCCACCCCAGCAAACAAAACATCTGGCATCTTCTTTAGGTCCAACAAGTGCGGAATCTAGTCAGCAGAGGAAAAGAAACGTACAATTAGGTTAATGCAACAGAATATTTAGTGCATAAAGTGGCACAAACCTTCTTGAAGTCTACTAGACTTGCTTCCTATTCAACAGCAGTGAGCCAGATATACCTGCCTGACGCCTAACTGTTCCACCCCAGAATATACTGCAAAATCAAACCACAACGCTATAACTTGTGAGAGATTGGCTGAATCCTCAGAATTATCCTCTTCAACAGTTATATGGGGTCGATCAACATTTTCTTTGATGCTGGCAGATTTTTCAACAGCACATCTAAATTATTTTCCTCAAACTAATATAATTTCTGCTGTGGATGTGAAAGAGATTAACATGGTTTGATAAGGATAATACAAAGAGAGCAACTTCCAAGCACCAAAACGGAAATCCTAGAAGTAGCCATGATTGGCAAAAAAATAACCCTCTCCAAATAAACTGTTGTTAAGCAAAGAAGCATGAGAAAAATAATACCCCACGGAAAATCAGTCAGAGGTATATAATTTAAAACAAAAATGGCAAGATATAAAATCTCCTGAGTACTTTCTGAATACATGGATGGTAAAATGCTCTCAATGAAACATGGCCTGAATTAGTTATCTGATGAAATATACATCTCTATTCTTTTTAGTGTTTAAAAATATGATGTTTAAAAAAGGTCTCATTTTGACACAAATCACTGCACTCTTTATGCAAGAACACACCATCAGATTTCTCCATCCTTACTTTGCAGATGTTTGCCGAGATATCTTCATTCCTGATGACCATTAGCAGAGGGGATGAAGAACACTGATCAAGCTGACTAAACTGGGATGGCTGTACACCCACATGACCTTCCGCCTTGAGCGCCTCCTATATCATCAACAAAACATTTGTAGATGTTTAGAGGCAAAAACTACATTTAAAAAACAAACATGGTTGTATTTCAGGAAGAAAAAGAACCATCAATAATAGCACAGATAAAGTTAAATTTGTTTTTAAGAAATGCGATCAAAAGTGTGATTGTTAGTTTCTAGTCTATTGTCTAAAAAAACTCTTACGGAAAAGAAAAACCCATTAATATCTGAGACTAATGTTCTCAAGGCACAGACTTCTTGGATTATTGTGACAGTGAAGTGAAATTTGGCAATTTTGTGGCACGCAATTTTGAATCTGCATTTCAGATCAAAAGATAAATATGAGGCAAAAATACAGAATGTCAGCTTTTATTTCTGAATATATCAAATGATATCGATCTAAATACCAGAAAATCCTGCAACCTCTCAGCAACACTGTACAAATTCACTCTTTAAACAAGTTTGTAAGGGTCAGAAAACAATGAATACAGTAGAAACATTTTAAAAACAATTGCAAGCACACATTGCAAGTGTTTATTTTAGTTTTCTTTTATGTAAATGTTGTTTTTCATATCAGACACTGGTAAGACCGAAACTGTCTTATGGAAAATTGAATAAAAGATACTCTGAGAGCAATAAATAAAACTTTCTTTGATAAACACTATATCATATATCCAATTTATCAATACTGTACTCAACATGCATTTGCACAAGGGTAGAAAGAGACACAATTTTATAAACAGGACTGTTCCTTGTAATAAGTGAAATGCTGACATGCCCTTCTTTTAGCAAGGGAGGTGGTGTTCCCTTTTGTTTCGAAGTTCAACATATACAGAGTATCTTTTTATATCCTATAGCTTTTCTGCATATACAGTAGGGTCTTAATATATCCGAACATTTGCAAATTCACTTCTTCACAATTTGGTCTGGCCAATGTGGTCTTTTATGAAGAAAGGCAGAGTAGTATGAAATCAAGCCGGTGATTGTTAAGCGCAAATTAACTGCGCCGAAGACTAGGATCATGAGCAAATGCATTATCATATAAGGGTGAGTTACTTATGTCTTGTACCCTTACACACTATGTAAGGATACTACGTTAGAGGAGACGTATAGGGGTGGACTTGGCTATATACACATTTGGCTATTCACAATGATTCTTTCCACAAACCCTCACAAATGAAGCCCTACTGCAACTCACAGTCTTACAAAAAGAGTGCTTACCTTTGTTTTTTCAAAGAAGGTATCCACTTTTGTTTCAAGGATAAAGAATCTGTACTTAGTCTTGAGTGATTGCCTGACTACAGAATTCAGGTTAGTGTGTAAGCAGTCAAACATACTGAATCTGAGCTTGTGAAAAAAGTCAACTGTCCTTGTTTTGGACTGTAGGAAGTCCTTTTCTTCCTTGTCCATTTCTGAAATAATCTGCTTCTGAAATTTTGTACCAGAGCAAACAGCATTCATCGTGGACCTGTACGATTTAGAACATTTTTCTGATATGTTTGACAGTTCTTCATGAGGTTCTTCTATTCCATTTACATATGAAGGTTTCTTAAGGCATAGAACAGCCTTGCTAGAAAATAAAGGCTTGAAATTATCCTTGACCTCTTTCGTGTCCGATTCAAGAGGCATGTCCCTGCTGTTTTCGGAAACATGACCCAATTTGAAAATTGAATTGTCTGCCACAGATGAGAAATTTCTCCATGAAGACAGACTGGAGAATTTGGACGGACTGGCACTTCTGGTCTTCTTAAGGATTTGGTGAATCTTTTCTGAAAAAATTAAGTACTCCAAATCCAAAGATGCCTGCGTCAGATCAGGCTTAGTCCGATGCATTTGCTCCCACTTTTCAAGGAAGCTTTTGAGGTGCCAATCTTCTTTTTTCTCGTTTTGGACTGTCCTAATATGTCCAGCCACTCTGTGTGTTATGACTGGGTAATTGTCATATGTTTTTCGCACGCCCCAACAGTCAGACATAGTGACAGTGGAGGGGACAGGTGAGTCAATCTCATCTGACACACATTCAGAACAGTTGCTGTTGGCATCTGGCTCAGGAGTTTGGGAGTCCATTATACCACCTTCTTGACTTTTCTCTCCTGCATCTGCATACGCCAAAGACATTACCCTGTCTTGTTTCTGGTCCAAGAATCCAGTGTTTCTTATAACTGTGCTTTCTTGATCTTCACGATGTAAGCTTTTATCCGACAGATTGAAATGTAAATCTCTTTCTAAATATTGGCAGTCAGCACTTTTTTCTTCTTCCACTGATTTTGTAAGCCTTTCATTTCCTTGTTCCTGGATCCCACAAGGTAATGAATCTATCTCCGGGTATTTACTGGCATGATCTTCTTTAGATTTACTACAAGAGAGATCCATTATGGAAGTGACATTGTTTATAGTTTCTGTTGGTTTAGAAACATTGTTTGTATCATGTCCATCTTGTGTGGTTGAGGGTGTTTTAAATTGATCAGAAGAACTCTCAGTCTCTAGGAATATGCAACTCTGGTCAGGAGATACACTATTCAAAGTTTCAGTTAATTTGAGAGTAATATGACTTAATTTCCCTTCTTGCACATAGCTGTTCCTAGTTTTTTCCATTCTGTCACCCGTGACAGTTGGTACATTAACCAAGTGAAAAGCAGACAACGGAAACTCAGACTTTGCCAATGTCCTGTGTAATCCATTGAATTGTTTCCTTTTAGAAATGCACAGATTTGCTATTCTGTTACATAATTCAATGTATACACTATCAGTTCCCAAGAGTTTGGTCATATCTGTCATTTCTGGGTTATCATCATAAACATCATCTTCCTCTTCCTTCTCTCCATTTATGTCAGTATCTGACATATCATCACTGGATCTGGAAATCTAGAGAAAAAGATTTAAAAATGTAAAAGGCGTATGACAGAGAAATAGAGTGTTGGTAAGAGTCACTGAATGAGTTCCAGAAACAGTAAAACAGAAAATTCCAGAACAGTAGACACAGCTATAGTGTATTTTGGAACACAGAAAAAAATCCTGGCTTCTTTTCTTTCCTTAACCTATGCAATATGATGAAAATAATCTTACAAACTGCAGCTTTAGGGAGTAGGTAACCGAATCATCCCCATAGATGAGCATGGAAAAGTGGATAACAACGGGGCTATTTTTAACACTTTGGAATTGGGTAATAACAGTTTTCAAAAGCATGAAAAGGTTTTCTTACCTTATCTACAAAATAGCTACCTGTTCCCACAGATAGGTTGTCTGTATGGTGCACCTGTGTATCCTTTACAGAACCTTCAATTCTGCTTTGTGTGAAGCAATTCTTGTCTTGAGCTCCTTGCTCTGAGTTGCTGGTGGAGCTGGAGAGATCCTCCTGAGGGCGTTTTGGAACACTCAGATCCAAAACTTCATCACATGGCCTGGAGACATCCACGGCACCACAATTCGGTTCCACATGGTTCCCTTCTTTCTTACTTTCTTCCCTAAGATCCAGCAGCTCACCTTGATGAGGATTTAAAGGTAGCTGTATTACAGATGGTTGTGTTCCAAATGTGTCCTGTTCATCAGAGCTCGATTTGGAAGACGGGTCATTTTCTGAGACGTCTTTAACTGGTAACATCTCAGGTCCGTTTTTATTTTGGTCACCGTCTTCAGAATCACTTGGGTCGGTCTGGAAAAACCTCATTGTTGACCTGCTATAAAACAGGCCAATCCACATATGAAGAATAAGGTGGACCTGCTCATAACTTTCCTCAATATTGCAATCCCAAGGGCTGTAAGTAAAGAAATGAGCAGACAATAGATGTTTAAAAAAACATAGCTAATTACATACCACAACATGCAGTCATTTAGAAGTCTCGAGTTGAAACACAAAACCTAGGAAGACATTGGTAAAGAACAAAGCTGACAAACGAAAGGAGGCCATTCCGACCATCTTTCTTGTTTAAATACAAGAAAGCAAGAATATGACATAAATATTCCTGTTGTACAGCAGAGGAACAGGGACGTGCAGCTCTCATATGAACAGAAACAACTCTTTAGTTTAAGTATAAAAATGGATTTAAGTACTTTGGAACTTTCGGTACTTTGAAAGCATAAAAAAAGCAGTCTTCAAAAACAATACTGATGTGACCTATCAAATCATGTCAAATCTTGATATTATGGTAATGATACATACCCATGAAGAGCTCGAGCCACAGTTTTATCAAGAGGATCATTTGTAAATTTGCTGTCCAGCTTGAAATCATATTCCTCTTTCCACTCTCGTGATACATAAAGAACTCCGTTTTTTTCAAACACAAGTCGAGACCGACTTTCAAGTCCATCAGAGTGGCATTCCTGTTCATTTTCAGGAATACTTGCTTCTTTTCTGCTTTTTTCATGATAGGGTGCCTCTTTATTTCGGAGCAGTAAAGGCCCTCCAACTGAGGCAATGTTGTCCATATTTTCAGCTTGGCTTCTGGAGGACTCGGCGCAATCAGTGGAAACCGATGGAGGCACACCTGCCAAACCCAACAGTAAATAGGATGGGGGCAGTGAGTAAGAATGTTCTTTGGAAATTATATTAAGAATCAGCTCTTCAGTCACTGCAAGTCCCTGGGGAAATGGGGACCTGAGGAGTTTAGGACTGGTAGAATTGCTTAGCAACGTTTGCTGCATAGTTCCATTGTCGCCCACCCTTGTTTGCCCATGTTCCGTTTCAAGCACTACATTTTGGGACTGGTCTTCTTGTATTAAAACTTTACTACTGGAGCTAAGAGCTAAATCAGCCAGTAAGGTCAGTGCATCTGAAGACTGACAAATGTCTGCACTTTCCATATCATGGTTTGTAGCACTCAGGTGAGTATTTTCACTTCTCACCAGATCCCTATAACCAGTAGTTCTGAGTTCCTTTGATTGAGTTTGTGCTATATTTTCAGTGTCAAATGAATCTGATGTTTCAAAATCCAACCATCCTGTAACAAAAGAAAAAAAAGAAAAAGGGCATGAAAACAAAAAATAAAGCATTATAATCCAGTTTGTGAAATAAATATATTGTTAGTTTTTTTTTTAATAGTGACTGATTCAAGCACACAGAAAGGCAGGAGAGAACTACTAAGCAGTACAGCTGGAAAATAAAGATTACAATAGGGGAATGTCACAGAAAAAGCTATATTAGTGCTTTTCCCTTATCCAAAAACATCTTCAGACCATGTAAAAAAACGTAACTAATTTAACATTTTGCTATATTTTCATTCGAGAGATGAGAGCAGCTGAAACAGTCATTTTTTAAGTGACTGTCATTTTTAGCATGAGGCAACAGCAGACAATGAGAAGAAAAGATAAGCAAGGATAAATTCTAAGACACCAGTATCCCAGCTCTGTTATCTTTTGTTTTTCCTTCAGTGGTAATAAGAAACTGCTCAGACCACTCCATGTGATATGGGCCTTATGTGTACTGTATCCCTTACTTTGCTACTTGGGGGATGAAGTAACAAAATAACACCTTTTTTGTAACAAAAAATAAAAAGTAATAAATCCTACCATTCTCTTTCACGTAGTCGGGTATCCTGTTCTTCATTCGTTTTTTGAAAGGTTTTAAGATCTTCTGTTTCTTCATTTCCGGTGAAGCATTCGGTGGTGTTGTGCTTTTGGGCGACTTTAACAGATCTTCAGATGTTACCGCCGACTTTGAAGAATCTTTTACCTTAGCTGCTTTTTTCCTTTCACATATCTGGGCCTTTGCACCTTCTTCTGGCTTTGAGGTTTGCTCTGATAAGGTAGTGTCAACAGGCAGTGTGTTCGTGTCCATATGAGTGACAGGGCCAACCTTAACAAGCTCGGGATTTATCTTGACATCACCGTTTCTCTTCTTTTTTTGAGGACACTGCTTCCTCACCACAGGCGTGTCTTCAGGATTCGCCGCAGTGGCCTTTTGTCTCAGAGGACACAAAGGTTTCTTTCGCTTTCTTAGCCTCACAAATTGGCTTACATCACTGCTGGATTGCAAGGCTTTCCCTTGCTCCTCTCCTCTGTCACAGTGCCTCTCAGGTGCCACTCTGCTCTCGTCTTCTACATGCTGACCAAGCTTGTCTGGACCATCAGGATCTGCTACTTCCCCAGAGTCTTGAGATTCTACTCCTTCTGTTTTGGAGGCATCTAGTGAATCAGCAGCCATTTTTTCTTCACACAGAGTCTTGTCCTCCTCTGTGGCTATTCTTGTTTGTTTCGGGAATTCAAAATCTCCCAAAACGAAACTTGAGCCATGTGGAATAAAAACCTTTCCGCAGTCAGTTATGATGTTTTTTAACCCATAGCTGTTGTCGCCTTTCATTTTTCTTTTAGGGGGATGCGAGTCACTAACATTGTTTTTTCCTTTGGCATTGTATCTAGTGATCTTTTGATTTACAGTTTTCAAAATTTTCAACTTTGTATTGCTGTTCCTTGTAATTCGTTTACTGGAAGCTTTTCTAGTTGGAGTTGTGCATTTTTGTTGGGCTCCAGCACATAAAACGTCCTTTCTCAGCAAATAATTCGCTTTCTTACCAGATGAGACATTTGTATCTCCAGAGGAGCTTACATTTGTAGACTCTGTGATTGGGCTCTTACCCGCATCCTGTAGGCTTTCCAGGGTGACCTTTTCATTTGTAGGTTCTAACAAGTTTAGTCCATTCTCTGTGGAGCTCTCATCATGGTCTGTTGGCATGTCACCTGAAATGGGTTTGGTTGGAGTTGCTACCTTCGGATTAAGTTGCTCTTTGCAAGTTACAGCAGTACCTGTCTTTTCAATGCCTTCTAGTACTACCACACACTCCAGAAATCGTTCCTGAGATTCCTCGATTTTTGTCTCACAACTCATTTCGTCCTCAGAAACAGCATGTTCTGCCTGAGCTATGTCATTGAACTCTGGACTTCTTCTCACTTCTCCATGTGAATCACCGTCTGTCCAAAAGTCTGACTGTAAAACCTCTGGAGATGAAAGAGAGTAATACACATTCTCACAGTGGTCATCTTCAACATCCATGGCCTCCTCCTGATTTACAGCCAGCAACTCCAGAGCTTTTGATACCGAAAGGTTATAAACATCAGGATTTCTAAAGTACGACTGTAAGTGTGAAACAGTCATTTTATGACATTCTGTAGCTCTATAAAGGTGTTTATAAGTCCTGGGTACATCGAAATGGTCAAATAAGACAGGTGGTTCTTTTCCAGTAATATCAACAATTCCTGGTCGGTTTAATGTCACATAGTCTTGGAAATGCTGTTCAACCAAGCTGCAAGGCGACACATTCTGGTCTGACTGGAATTCCTCAGCTTTCTTCAGTGCATAGTTTAGCCCTGGTAAGATCTGAATTACATCAGAGGAAATTGGATATTCAGACACTGGAAACTTCACTTCTGCAATAAAAATAAACAAATTAGCAACATTCCAAACAAATATTCATGATGTTCAATACAAAACATAATTTGTAACAAATGCAAAAACACATAACATAGTAGCTAACATTTAGCTTTAAAAAAAACATACTGTAGATCTTACAACAGATTCTGATTCACAAATATTAAGCTAATTGTTCTGGAAGAGATCTACAGTGTCCATTTCCTATTAGATTTACATAATTGAATAACCTTAACACACTTCCTTATGCTTAATAGGTATTATGAAATGTCCCAAGTGCGTTTTAAAACACTGTGAAATGCACATATTTAACTTACCTTTCTGCACTGTTCTTGAGTTAGGAAATACAAATAGGCACTGTAATATTTCTTCCTTCTCTGTTGTGCTTTCTGTAAGACAAATTGAGAAACACATACATGTTTTTTCTCCTCTAAACAAAAATGCCCCAAAATATCTAAAAATACAACAAAAATTAAAATCACAAAAATAAACTTCCAGAGATCTGTTCATAATGTCAATCTATAGTGTGGAATGTTTGCCTTTTTTGTAAGAATCTAAGTGACATTTGTTTGTCAATATTTGTAATAAAATGATTATCTTTTATTCATTAAAAACTAAAACTAAACACGTTTTTAATATTTTATACAAATCTTCAAAGCAGCCAAAATGTTCTGCCAACAATATATTGAATAAACTACACACAAATGTCTGGTAAACACAGAACTACTAAAACTTGTCAAAAGATAGTTTTTAAAAAGTTTACTCCTTACCTTCAAATGTGAGAAAGCAAGATGGTAACAATATAAGGACACCACAATCATTCAGCAGTAGAATGAATGCCTACAAATACATACAACACATTATTCATATCTTGAAAATTGATTCAAGACTCAATACTGACAATACATGACAATACTTTACAATCAGGTTTTTTTGACATGGCAATAATTTACCCCAGTGTAGCCCCCAAAAATAAAAACAATTCACGTGACACTTACACATATACAGTACGCATTACTCATGCAAACACATTTAAATTCAAAGTTTAAAATTAGAAATGGCATGGTCTGTTACACTCATATTTATATTTACTACCATACAATGCTTGCAACATCCAAGATATACATATTGAGGTGCCTAATGGCCTATACATACTGGAGATGCTATTTCAGACTGAACAACACTACATCACTACATTTGATACTTTGAAACCTTCTCTCCAGAAGGAGAAGCTTAAAAAAGGAGCTGGTAGGGTTGAAGGGTTCAATGGACACCTTCTGAGATTTCTGTTTGAAATGACTGTCATAAAAAGAGACTACAGAGGGAAGACTGTCTATATGTGCAACCTTTTCTTTTCTTGGGCAGTTGTATTACCATAGTGCACTGTTATTGAGAAGGTGACCATACTCTCAATCACAGTTCTCTAGAAGGGCATCACTGCTTCCTGATTAACTCCAAACGTTCTCAACTGTCGTAGGGAGTACAGCCTCTGATGGGCTTTCTTCATGATGAGGCTGCTGTTAACTTCAGTGGCACCACTTCAGAGACACTCTCTACCGACTGCCCATTAAAATCAAATGGTTACAGATCAACTCTGCCCCTGCAAAAGACCTCCACCAGCTCTTTGGTCTTATTAGTGTTTAGGATTGTGATTATGGCATATGTCATACAGGGATTAAATTAAAATGAAAATAAGGAAGGCTAGAGTCGACATCTGTTTGAATGCAGACAAGGGAAATCTCTTTTTTACAGATGTCATTAAACAAATGCAATGCTAATCCACGAAGTTTTGTTTCAAAGGTTAGGTTAAGTATTAAAAAAACAAACATTCACAAGAATGCACGACCAATTCATTTTAAGAGGACAGGTGAGAGACTAATTTATTGTCCATGACTTCACTGCACATTACAATATTTTTTTTTCTACCACAAAACTATGTACTACTTGATCATTGGAAAATAGCAAATATGGTCAGTAAGCAATCTGCAATGACAGTCATATGGCAACAGAGAAATGCAAAGAGATGAAAGAAGCAAAGAAGCAAAATGTTTTTAATGTTTCAAAATGCACATCATTTTAAATTTCTTGACTAGAAAAATAAAAGACAAGTGATGACTCTGTATGCTCTGACAACACAGACTGACTTCAAACTGCAAGTTGCATGTTTTGCCAATGGTTAACCAGGCAGTGAAGGAATTCTGCTTCCATATCATCTAGCTGGAGCTGTGAAATCTGTCATATTTAAGTCTATTTATTACTATTTGAGACAACAGGCACAAACTTTCTTGTCCAGCAGGTTCTCACATATAATCTCAGAAGAATGTGTGTTTCTCTCTTGATTGCTTGCACTGTCTCCATCTCACATTCTCCTGTTCTGTGCACACACATCTGGTTAACTTACTCAGCCGTTCTGGCATTCACTATTTTAGTCAGCCTCAGAGAGTCTGAAGTGTGAAAAGGGCTCTTTTTAAATCTCATCTCACACATACACACTGGCAAAGTGTGTAAACCTTTTCTCTTAAGTATTTTTCATCTTGTTTCATGAGATCACAGCCTTCTTGCCTTCTAGGAGAAATTCAATTGTTAATGGTCTCTGTGTTCAATATACTTTCTGAATATGACTGGGAAACAACTGCATGTTAGATTACCAGATACATAAACTTTTTTGGTTTCTTTGTTCTACTGTTTAACAGTATTATCTTTCTATTTATTTATATATTATAATACTTTCCAAAATGCTGTTTGTTCACTTCTAAACTTACCAAGCCTTTCTGTTTCAGCTCTTCAATTAGGGCATGAAGGGAACAATCCTCTTCTGATGATGGTTGCACTTCATACAGACTGCAGTAAACTCCATCCAGGAATACTGCGGAATTTAATTAAAGAACACCTAGGTAGGTAGGCTTTATAATTAACACAATGATATTATAATTATAAATATATAATTAGGATATAAACGATTGCATCTAAAACCCATATGGTTGACTAAATGCATACATAAAAATACAGTCCTGAAATCAGTCTACCAGTCTACTTGAGAGAAGATTTCTATATAGATCCAATAGGCAGCCCTTGTATCTTCTAGTTGCATTATATATTTTAGAGAAACACTTTTCATTGTTTAATATCTGTTTTAGAGAGCAGACTCACACTGTACAGAAACCACAACTAAACTGCTGTCTGGCTGTTATTTTGTAGTAGGGTTGGTTCACCATAAGGCATGAATGAAACTAGTTTTTGGAGGGTAGAAAACTTGCCCTCTGGTTTCAAAATAAGTATCTACTTGTCTTTTAGGTTTGTGCCTGACCAATACACTGCCATAATAGGAAATAAAAAGGAAACCATGTGATATGCATGTCTGATTTTCATTTCTGAATATAAAAGGTGTTTTATCTGGTATTTTAAATTAACGCCTTTGAGACAGTGTGGAATGATTATAGAAGGACGTTCATAAACAGGTGTGCAGCCAACAAATATATGCTCTCAGATGGTTATGAATGGGCAAAGATAGATGACAACACTCTGGTGAATGTGTGGGACAGAATGCCTAGATAGTTTTTGCAACTGTGGTTGCTAACAAGCATTTTCAGACCAGGTTTAAAAAACGTATATAACATAGTCATTTATGCTTATTCTTACTACATGTGTCTTTATGTGAGGCAACTGTTCCAGTGTTTTTGCTGTAATTGTGACTACCAAACAGTCCACTGGTACCACAGCTCTCAAAACGTGAAAAAATGCTGTTCTTATGCATGCTTTAATGTTTGAGTAAAACCATAAATTAGAGACTTCATTCTATAACGTAATAAGGCAAGAATTTTCTTCCAAATGGAACCTGATAATGACAGAGACACATATCAACCACTTTTGTTATAATTAAGTTTTCTTTCCTTGTTTGTTGTACTCATGCAATGGATTTATTCAACTATTAATAATCCAATTTCTACGATATGTGATTTATAGCACGACTGAACACATGTCCTCCTTTAAAGCAATAAAGCATTACACGTTAAGTGCCAACGAATGTGAGGTAGCACTTCGGTGTATAGAAATTTGACATAAAGCAATTTGCAAAAAACATGTACCCAAAAACTGGAGTGTCTGCAGTTAAGAGCTAAGCAGCTGTACAACATATCTGTTATATGTTGGTTTAAATTTATTATTTTCTTTAATATTTTCAATAGAAACAGTGTTAGACTTCTGATTGACAAACCCAAAATCGAACAGGCGACATATGCAAAAATTTTGGATTTTGGGAAACGTTTACAATTCTCCATTTTTGGATGCCTGCCTTTGGTGTCTGATGAAACAATGGAGAAAACTTCCCGAAAGTGAGTCACAGCCCAGACAGCAGCACATTTCATGAATTCAGCCTGTTTCCCGATTGATTTCCTTTTACCACATTTTTAATTGTCTATTAAAGACAAAGAGGGGGGCTGTGAATTCCTAATAGGGCACATGCATTTCAAAATAAACTAAATTAATAACAGGATTGTTGACTTTACATAATAACTCCCTAATTATAACAGGTGACCAATATTTTACCACAGCTAGTGTCAGTTTGGGATATATCATTATTAGTACTTACCAGTATCAGTGCCATCAGATTTATGATTTATTTCACAAAAGTGATGAGTGATGAAGCATATAAATAAAATGTGTAGTACTTGTAGGTATTACACTATATTACAACAAGACAGGACTCTCTCAAGCAAACATACTGTATAGGACCAAGGAGAAAAGGTTGTCAAGGCAACAGTCAACTTTGATGATTCACTCTCTGGCAGAAGTAGCTGAGATTTTGAGGTACACGACCAAGAATATTATGAAGGATGAGATATTTTCAGATGACAATTATAAAAATGCTTTGTGTAGCTTAAAGCATGTAACAATATAGCACAAAGATGCCAAGTGGCTGCGTGGGGGTTGATGAGCAGAGCTGATAGTCTCTTCATTACACATACTGAAAAGGGAAATGTAATTTTACTTTGGATTAATCTGTAAATTTGTTAATTGAATGTTCGCAAAACAAAGAGTTTGTGTGGTGGTGCTTACACCAACTCTTTCGGAAATTTGCTTCAAATATTTTGTGCAGAGTCTCTTGGGAAAACTGAAGGCTAGTGTAGCTCATTACAAAATAGGATTATGTCTATGCAATCACTAGATAACCAGCCTCTGACATCTAAGGCTAATGAATAACTGATATTTTTGCACAAATCAACACAACTGTAAAACTTTTTTTTACAGTTTCAAATAAAGATTAATCTTAAAGTATCTAAGTGTCAAACTGTGCCATACATAATCGTATGTGTTATACATCAATTTTGACATTTGAATTGCACTATAGGTATCTTCCAACTTGCATAACCAAGTTTACAAATTGTTTATCTTCTTAAGAAGCTGCTACCAAAACAAATATAATTTTGTAAACCTTAAGAACATGATTTTTTATAGAAAACACTGCCTCTTTCCTTTTTTAAATGTGTTTAAGTTTTAAACTATGATATTAACTATAATGCTTGTATGCAGCACAAAACATGTTCCTTCAAGTGTAAAAGAAAAACTGGTTCAACAACACTGTAAAACACAGCCCCAGATTCAAAGTGAACTTTTGCAAACAAGTTTTTAGAAACAGTAGCCCAATGTTGTGAGAGTCACATGGTGGACACATATAGACATGCCTATATGTGTGACCATACAGTGAATAATTATGTGCCTATATGAAGAGCCTTTACTTAACTGGTTCCATTCTTTACCCCTCTGCTCCTACTTTTCTTAATACCACTATCCACAGTCTCCTCTGTGTATTGTAATTGTGTTTTATCTTGTGTATTATTTTTATTTATTGTTGTTGTCATTCTGTAAAGCGCTTTCAGAAGCCACCTTAAAAGGCGCTATAAAAACGTTTTTTATAATTTTTTCTATGGTGCCTAATTGTCTCAATACTTATAGCTGTCATTATGACATGGACTGGGCCTGCAGTAGTTGGTGCTCCTGATTTGTCAAACAACATGCAAGAATTTATCAATGGTGGATAAAAATTTGCTCAAAGCCATACCTGCTTCAAGCTCCAGTTTTGTGACAGCCATATTGTCATTTCTTTACATATTTTTCTTTTATTGAACATAGCGTTAACGTAAAAGTTGACCTGGATAAGGCACTGTGCTAAACAAATACACAGACCTAATTGTAATTGAAAACGGCTGTGGTTAACATTAATTTGACATAGATGTTTTTGTGATTGTGTACGATCGGAAATTTTTACCTTCAGCTGTAATGGAGGTTTCAAAGACTGACTGTGGTAATGTATTCTTCAGATCTGAAATCCTCATAACACTGTGTATTTTCAAAATCTCTGGTCTAGAAAAACAAAGCAAGATTTAACCTTTCATATATTCTTTTAGTATTACACAACCAAATATTAAATGAAAGACATGAAAAAATACAACTAAAATTATACCAGTACACAGTAGCCCTAATTATGTTTCATAAAAACAAACATTAATATTTACAGTGTATCCTTATCTATATTCAAATGAAGAGGAAATGTTTACTACAGCAGTAATAAAATAAATATTCCTAGTGACTTACAGCTTGATTGGTGTTATTACATCTGAAGCAGATCTCAGTGAGACATGATAAATAAGGGAGTGATTACTGATCTGGATCTTGCCTCTCCATGGGTAGTAATGACAGGCTGCCAATAGAAACTGAGAGATTAGGAATCCTGGAAACAGTGAAAGATTTTGCTACAAAATAACTGAATAAAAATTACTCTTCATCAAATAAAAATATATCTTACCTGCTTTGTCTTGACTAGCACTAGAGATGGGAAAAAAAGAAACATTTACAAAATTACTCATTAGAAAAACAGCATAAAAACGTAATAAACTAAAAGGAGATACAAACTGATTAACTGTTGAAAGCTGAGTTAGTATCATACCTTTTTTCACTGAACACGGAGACTGTGGGCTTAGATTCACCATACACAAAGCCAACGATGGCAAATGGACACACATGCCGGGGACACATAACTGCAACTCCATTCTTTAGTTCATACATGTAATACTGAAAAGGAACCACAAACAGGTCTTACTGTCCAAAGGCAATGGGGACCCAGTTAGTCTTCAATTTTAATTTAGGTTTTCTATGCTTAAACTATGCAGCCTGCAGTTCTAGCGCATGCTGTACGGAGGAGGTGTCACTCTGCCAGGAACATAAATCCAGTACATTAAAGAACTAACAAAATGACCTTCAAGGAATCATTCCAGGTTTGTTTTGGCAGTGGGAGAGCTGGGTGAAAGCTGGAAGTGGGGCATTGAGTTCAATGCCTCTTTATTTTAAACCCTCCTGCACAAGTCAAAGCACACAATTGTAGGAGCCACAAAAGTGAAGTCTATTCAAATTGGAGGAACTGGTCCAGTATTTGTCACGCAAAATGTGGGGCATATGATTCAGTTTTTAATGATACTTCACCCAGTGCCAGATGTTAGTAAAAATGAAAACTCACCTGAGTACGTTCATAAGCTTGGAAAGAACTTGTTGTTGACGACACGGTCTCAATTAGTTCAGAAACATGACAATCATAACCAGTAGAAGGTTTTGTATACTTCTGGGTATAATTTTCTGTCACTGCTTTTACTCTACCCTGTAAAGATATTCAATCACATCATCTTAATTACACATATACAGTTGTATGCAAAAGTTTGGGCACCCCTGGCCAAATTACATGTTTTGTTGATTTTCTAAGTTAACACAACCTCTGCAGTGAACAAACTTAAACTTGACATATTTCTGCAAATTTTAATGCACAGTTACTATTTATTTGCTGAATTTAATGGATTGAAAAAAATAAAACAAGTCAATGTGGCATGTGAAAAAGTTTGGACACCCTATCAGTCAGTACGTACTGTAGTAACACCCCCTTTGGCAGAAATCACAGCCTCCAAACGTTTCTTGTAGCCAGCTAACAGTCTTTCTATTCTTGCTTTACGTGCAGAACGTAAAAATTGTACTCTTCAGCTACAATCACCAAAGGTATGTTTGAGTCTGAAAAGAGGTTAGATATTACAACAAGGAAATGATCCAAAACATACCTCCAAATCAACCATGAACTACTTTAAGAAAGGAAAGATTAAGGTTTTGGAATGACCTTCACAGTCCCCAGGCTTGAATATTATTGAAAATCTGTGGGTAGATCTCAAACATGCAGTGCATGCAAGACAACCTAAGAATCTTTCTGAACTAGAAGCGTTCTGCAAAGAGAAATGGGAACAAATTCCTAAAGCAAGAATAGAAAGACTGTTAGCTGACTACTAGAAACATTGATAGGGTGCCCAAACTTTTGCACATGCCACGTTTACTGTTTTATTTTTTTCAATCTGTTAAAATTCAGCAAATAAAGAGTAATTGTGCATTAAAATCTGCAGAAATATGTCAAGTTTAAGTTTATTCGCTGTAGAGGTTGTTAACTTCTTTTCACTCAGAAAATCAACAAAACATGTAATTTGGCCAGGGGTGCCCAAACTTTTGCATACAACTGTAAGCAAACACCACAACTATAATATACAACATTTAAACCAATAGATCCTGGATGAGTTTAATTAAGAATGCTAACACCTCTTAACATTTTACAAAATAGCCTTTAGAAAACAAGTACATTTCACTTTACAAAAACTATTAAAGGCCACATGAGAGAAATGTCATTGTCTTTGAGAAGCTTTCCTTGCCGTAACCATAAACTCTACATTAAACAGTAGCAACATTAACATCAATAATAATCATAAGAAACAGAAGAGAAATGGGTAACACTTTATTTGAATGTTGGTGCATAGGGGTTTCATAACCCTCTTGACTGCTAGACAAGACTTTATAATACTTTCTATGATGCAATGCTAAAACAAAATGTAATTTGCGCATGTTACTATAAAACGATATATACGTGACTACAACATCTTGTGTAGTAGTTATGAAAGGATTATCAAGGTCATTATGCAGCAGCATTGAAATAAAACATTACCAGTACTATACGTTCTTTTACCTTTGTGACTTTGAAAGCCACAATGCAGCCAGATTTCCCATGGTACCACGGACTGAAGTGCAGACAGTCAGAGTACTTAGAGATGTAAACACCTTCAAAAAGAAAGAGACAATTAGTCCAGCAATAACTACTGGGCAGTATAGAAACATAAAGGACTAATAGTTTGGAGGGCATCAGTATAGATGATAGTTAAGAGGTTATCTCTGGATCAGTCAACCAACTGGAACTGAAGCAATGGTATAGTACTTCTTCTCTGAAGTAAAAAAAAATGCCTATAAAGAATTTACTGTTGTATTCACCCCTGCTTTGTAACTCCTGTTAATCTGTAAACCCTGCACTACAGATCTGTGATTTACTATTTGATTGAAGTCTTGATCTTCACTAATTCTTTCCCTGGAGAAAGTAGACCAGCCCATTATATACACATTTTTCAATAAACGTAATAAATGCTGTGGCAATTCTTGCAAGAAATCAATTGAAAAAAAGAGTATGTATTGCAGGCCATGGATTTGCACTAAAAAAAATACACTAAAACTTAAAACGGCTGACAATGTATCTGTAGTTACTAACCTAATACATGTAAAACAATCACTGTGTTTTGCACACATTTGTTTTTGTTTTATAAGGTAAATCAAATTGCTCTGAACTAACCGTTTTCTGGCAATAAGAGTTCAGTTGCTTTCCTTGAGTTACTCGCATGGCATCAAGATATGTCTGAATATGTCTCGGGTGCATTTTAAAAATATGCATCAAATATGCATCAAATGCCAGTTACATTTCACAAAAAATGAGACTTATAAAATGCACTAATAAACAACATTAATTAGGAAAAGGATGCATATACATAGGAACACCCTAGATTCTGAGCAAATAAAGTTCTGAACAAACGTGGTCTTTTGTAGGAACAATGTCACACATTTCCTGTTTGACAGATACAAGGCAGTGCTTTATTTTCACTTTCATTTGTGAAAGGAGATCAGTAATGAAAGCAGTAATGAAAAGAGCAGCTTGGTAAGTTGTTTTAATTCAATTCAAAATATGTTTAACACTCACTAATCGTTAAAATATCTAACAGAATAGAAAAGTAGGAGGCAGAAAGTGGGTTAGGTTCATAACTTCTGTAATAAAAAAAGATAAATCTACTGTTTTCTCATTGCAATTCCACCATACAAAGGTTTACCTAGGTGTACTTTACATAATACAGCACAATAGTGTGGTAATCTATAGTGAACTTCATACAACCTCTTGTTTTCAGACTAGTATTCTGAATATTTATTTTGTGAAATAAAGTATTATTCTTGGTTAACAGTAATTGCTAAGATGTTTTCAGTTTCCTTTTGGAAAAAGGAAGAAAATTAGGCTGGGCTACAGCAGAAATCAAAAACAGGTTTCAGTTTCACTTATAATTATGCAAAGGAAAAAATGTGAAACTAAACAGCATGCATTTGTATTAAGGTATTTTGGACTTCTAATTTAACTTTCACCCACTTTTGTTGTCTATATTTTGGAAACTAGAAAGTGTCAGCACATAGACACGATAAAGTGATTAAGTACATTCTTCACAAAAAGTAGTCAGGCCAGCACCTGAACTGAACTTCAAAGCAACAAGGGAATGTAACTTGCATTAAATGGTTGGAGTGTAAAAAGCAGAGAAGCACTGATACAGTAGCTGTGTGTGCATTATGCAGTTTGTTTACAAATGTAACTATACTGGGTCTCAACTGCTTTGCAAAGTTACTCAACTTGTTTAAGTTAAGTGAAAAGGGTTTTGGAGACTTATATTCTTCCTGTGAAACATTACATGGTATGATTTTTAAAGCAAGAAGGCAGACATGTCCAGACGAGAATTGTACATGCAGTCAGTTGCCTTTTCTGTTTAAAATATGATTGAAAATATGACAGGCAGATAATTATGATTGGCAGAAGTGATGTAAGTGGGATTTGCAAATCCACACTTTTGCATGATCAAGTCAGGGAACGTACAATCAAGATAACAACTCTGACTATAGAGTCATGCTCTGATCTGATCACGATGGCAGATTAATTTTCCTAGATCACAATGCCTGTGGGCCTGTAGGGTGGCATGTCAGTTAGCACTGCTGCCCCAGAGCTCATTCATCCTGCATTCAATTCCACTGCAGAGCCACATCTGTGTGGAGCCTGCAAAGTCTCTCTCTGGGCATGTGAGTTTTCTGCAGGTGATCCAGTTTCCTCCAATAGTCAAAGGCTGTCAAATTGTACCCCGCATTCTTGTCTGTGTGTGTGTGAGCGAGAGAGAGAGAAACAGCCTTGCAATGAACTGGAATCCCATCTGAGTATCCCATCTTGTGCAAACTGTCTGTTGAGTTAGGCTCTGGCTCACCAAGGGAATTGGTAATCTCATTATTTCTTTGCCAGTATTCAGGCAGTAAGGCATTTAAAGGGAAAACCAGAGAGAACTTTCTGGCTGCAACATTGTTTTTCCTACTCTATATTGACCAGATGGGCACATGTGGACTTTCAATACTATACCGTTTTCTAAATTCCATTCCTTTTGCACATGCTTGCCTGGCTAAGCGGTCCATTGTCTTCAAATGTATAGATTGTGAATCTCTGCATGTACTACTACTGCAATAACTCCAAACACAAAGGAAACACACGTGAACAAAATAAAAGGGCAAGCAATAATAAGTTAGGAAATCATACCCTTTGAAGGATCTCCAAGTGTGGAGCATGAACTATGTCCGACTTGTAAACCAGTTTTGGAGAGCAGCTTTGCCTTGAAACATTAAACAAAGATAAAATTGAATGACACCACAGAATGCAGCACTAACATAACAAAGGAATGCGCCATTGTTGAATTATGCAGTTTACCTCATTCTCATTATCAAACAAGAGAAAACCAAATGACTCTTTCAGCTCTTCATCTTTATATCCCTGTTCCTTCTTTTCTGTCCTGCAGGCATCATACTGTTAACAAGAGTGAGAAAAACATGTAATGTTTGTTAGGTTTGGTAAAACAATATTTGATTTATTCAACCAGATTGGTCAATTGTGAACAAATATATATTTACAATAATAACTTGGAGATCTTCTACATATACAGTTGGGTACTTTGTTTCAAGCATTTTGTACAAGGAAACAATAATTTAAAAATTATAAGTGTATAAAATGATTACCTTCTCCAGAAGGACTTGGTTTTTTATTAGGTATGCAGTGTTGTACAGGAAACAGTTTACAGAGTCTGGATACATGTACGAATTCTGCAGTACAGGCAGAATGACTTGTTCAAAGGTACTTGACCCAGGCAGTACGGATTCCAAGAGACCTAGAGAAGAAAAAAAGATACCAGTTACTAGAATATGTCACTGACAATTTGACTTTATATAAAAAGTTGAATTATAAACTCAGATTGCAACCAAATAATGAAGTGGACAGTTTTGTTTTGAAACAACAGGCTTTTTTTTCCCAATTGGGAAATACTTCATTTACTGTAACTAAAACCCTTCAACTTTTAAAATGAACATTTAACATTAAACAGGAACGTACTGAAATTGAGGCAACGTCTGTTTCCAGTTTTCCATTCATTTTCTTCAAGGCAAGACTCTCTTTTTATCAAAACCCTCAAGCTTCAACATTTTAAGCCTCCATGGTAAAGTGGAAAAGCCACTGCCAGCTCTGCTGCTTTCTGCATCACCTAGGGTCCACTTTGAGGGGTACTGCTCTCTCTAACATTTGTGATCTTCTTCACAAGCGCTGCTTCTATCATAGTTGCTATGCGAGTCCAACCTCCTTACGTCTTGGAAATAACCTGCTTCCTAGAGTCACCAAGTACCCTTCTTTCTTCCTCAACCCGTGCTGATGACAACAATTCTCCGCCTTGTCCTCTGTGTCCAATATTTCTCCATTTTGGACATCTGCTGTCCCACTAAGAACTAGAAAGATCTTACAGCAAAGCACTCCATGGGTTTTTCTTCATCAGGAAGAAGGAATCTTTACACTAAACTCAAGTACGTAAAGCACATTTCTGCACCAGCATGGTCACAGGTCTCCCAGCAATTGATTTCTATGCACTACCCACCATCTCCCTATCCAGCCACATCTCCCGGTTTGCAACGCTTCCAGCAGCTGAATCCACCTTCAGGCCTTTGTCCCTTTTTCAAGCCCAACAATAGGTAAAGCCAGCAATGGAAGACCATCCTCAAATTGCCTTGAAAACAATTAGTGTTGAAAACAAATGCCATGCTTGCTTTAGTCACTATGCTGTCCTCCATCTGCCTTGGCCCATACCAATGATATTGCCCCTCCTCCACAAGCCTATCCTTCTCTCTCTACCCTCCTGTGCTCCTCGCCGAGTTCACCTCGCCGAGCTCCACCCTTTGTCTTTTCTTCTGTTTTACCCTTTTTTTCCCCCAATCGTCATGTGTATTTCCCATGTGTCTAATGCCCCAGCAATGTCTTCTGTGCTTCATCTCCTTCCCATCCCCATCCTCTTTCTGCTGTCCCATAGGAACCTTCTCTTCCCTGCTGAAGAGGGTGCTGCGTTGGCCACCAAATCTCTTTTCCCTTCCCATGGTCCTCGTCAAGTCCACCCCATTTCACTGTCTGTTGTCCTATGGCCTCAGCACTGTCTCCTCTCCTTTACCTATAAGCCTCTTTATCTCAACACGTAGGCCCAGCCTGCTTGACCAATGATGCTCAGCTTGCCCCTGACTGGGCCACAGTTCAGGTCAATGCTGGCCAGACAGCTGAGGAAATGGCCCTCCACCCTCTAACCAGCTTCACTCATGGGCTTGGCTCTCTACGCTAGTGTGCCAGACACCTGCCTACGGCAGAAATGGTTTGCAGCCCAATGTGCTTTGCACAATGCACTGAGACATTTCCTAATTTAATGATTGGTACCAAATGGTTTATAGGCCTTGGGATACCTTCTTGCTTCACAAGCATCATCATCTATTGCCTTTACTTAGGATTTACAGTTGTGAGAAAAAGTTTGTGACCCTTTGGAATTATCTGGATTTCTGCATGAATGGCTCCTTAAATGTGATCTGATCTTCTTCTAAGTTATAATAATAAATAAAGACGGTCTTATTTAACAAACAACACACAAAACATTTCACATTGTCATATCTTTTTTGAACAAATGGTTTAAACAATCAAGGTCAATGATGGAAAAGTATGTGAACCTCTCGGTTAATGACATCTTGAAAAGAGGGTAATTGGAGTCGAGTGTTCCAATCAATTCAGGTGTGGGTTTGGTCTGCCCTGCCATACAAAAAAAAAATCACACTATTTTGGTTACCTGCTCTTCACAACAGAATTCTGTTGAAGTACAATATAGCCCGATCAAAAGAGATTTCAGAGGACCTCAGAAGAAGAGTTGTTAAAGCTCATAAGACTAGAAAGGGTTAAAAAAGGATTTCTAAAGACTTGGGCCTCCATCAGTCCACAGTCAGGCAGATAGTTTACAAATTGAAGAAATTCAGCACTGTTGCTACTCTCCCTAGGAGTGTGCGTCCTACAAAGATCAGTGCAAGGGCAATCCATACAATCCTCATCACAGGTGACAAAGAACCCTAGGGTGACAGCTAAGGATCTGCAGGCAGGCATCTCTTGCACTTGATAACGTCTGTGTTCATGAGTCTACTCTAAGAAAAACATTGAACAAGAGTGGTGTTCATGGGAGGTTACCACGGAGGAAACCACTGCTCTCCAAAAAGACTTTGCTGCCCATCTCAAGTTTGCTAAAGACCACCTGGATATTCCACAGCACTACTAGAACAATGTTCTGTGGACAGATGAGACAAAAGTTGAACTTTTTGGTAAATGTACACAGCGTTATGTTTGGAGAAAACAAAACACTGCATACTAACACCAAAACCTCCTCCCAGCTGTGAAGCATGATAGACGAAGTATAATGGTGTGGGGCTGCTTTGCTGCCTCAGGACCTGGACGGCTTGCAATCATTGAGGGACCAAAGAATTTCAAATTGTACCAGGAAATTCTACAGCAGAATGTCAGGGCGTCTGTCTGTGATCTAAAACTCAAAAGAAGTTGGGTCATGCAACATGACAACGATCCAAAACACAGGAGTAAATCAACAACAGAGTGGCTCAAACAGAAGAAATTCCATATCTTAGAATGGCCAAGTCAGAGTCCAGACCTAAATCCTATTGAAATGCTGTGGTGTGATCTGAAGCAGGCCGTTCAACCAAGACATCCCAAAAACATACATGAACTGAAACAGTTTTGTATAGAGGAATGGGCAAAATACCTCCTAACTGCTGTGCAGGTTTGATGAGCAGCTACAGAAAACATTTGGTTGAGGTTATTGCCAATAAAGGGGGTTCCACTAGTTATTAAATATAAGGGTTCACATACTTTTTCCCCATCAATGGCCTTGATTGTTTAAAGCATTTGTTCAATAAAGATACGGCAATGCAAAATGTTGTGTGTGTTGTTTATTAAATAAGACTGTCTTTATTACTATGACTTAGATAAAAAATCAGATCACATTTTAGGAGCTGTTCATGCAGAAATCCATATACTTCCTAAGAATTCACAAACATTTGCTAACACTGTACTAACAAACATAGGCTGAGGCACCTGTTCCTGCAGCAAGGCAACAGCATCATTTTGCTATAATGACTGCCTTCTGTCTCTCAAGACTTCTACTTTTTCACAGGTGCCACATTACCCACAGGATATTGGTCTTGTGCATCTTCTCCGATTCCTGGTTTTACAACCTATATCTTATCATCATCACCACCCATCTAGGTTTCCCCGAGAAGAGCCAAAATCCATCCTCATTCACTCACTCGTATACCCGTAAAACATATTTTAATGAGGGGACTTTAATTCTTTGCATATCACAAACCTTCTCTAACATTTCAACTGATTTTCGATCTGTAACTAATTCTCAATACACGCTGTTCATATTCCCAATTAATCAAAACAGTTTTGCAAACGCACCCTTCGAGAAAACATCTAGTATCTCCCCCGCTGCATACTTGGTCACTTTCTTGGATCAATATTCTCCCAAGCTCCACACCTGAAATGTACGCTCACTTTTCTTCAATTCAATCCCTGCATTTAGTTTTCTCAAACCTCACTTTTACTATCACCAATTACCCTTATCTCATCTGACCTACTACTTATCAACAAAACTGGCAGTTAGTGACTTATCACCATTTTCATGAACCACAGACAAAACCAACTTCAATGCTGGATGCATCTGGCCACTGCTCATGTTGCCTTCAATAAATCCTGGTGTCCTGACATTTACTGAGCTTACATCCAACCCAATGAACTGCAAGCAAGTTCACAGTTTTCTGCACTAGTGTTATGGGATTCTTATTTGTTCCCCTTCTCCTCCACGATCAAAACTACTCAATAGAGCAACATGTCCAGATCTTATTCTCTTTGATTACTTTGGAAATGTTAATTAACGTTAATAATTCTGACGATCTTTCATTCTCTCTTATACTTTCAATCTGCTAACTATATCTTTGTTTATATAATACCTTTAGATGTCATAACTTTAAAATTCTGGATCACCATTATGGGGTCTCTTTTGGTTCCTGCAGGGTTCCAACCACTTCAACCTTGAACACGATTGGTCATTTTCATCAGGCAAAATAAAGAAATTCTCTATGAGCTACCTTTTTCAAGCAGTGACTCAAGAGCTGCTGGACCCTTGGCTCACTAACCTTTTTAAACAACCTTTTTTTAAACAGTACCAGTCTATATAGCAAATGCTTGTCAGAAAATTGTTGAGGTATCAGCGCTGAGATTTTATTTTTAATCTTTTTGGCTTTGTCAAATCATGATGACCATCTTACATTGAGAAGTTAGTATAGTCATGTTAGTAGTGAGAGTAATACATTGAACTTCTTCTAATAAATAAACCATTTTGTGCTGTATCTATACGCCTTCTAAGACGGAGAGTCGGACATTTTTATATTTCTGACATCTGACAGATTCTCTCAACCAAGTCTACCCAACCCAAGTCAAATGGTCATCTTCAGAGATGATGTAACAGGGAAATATAAGTCAAGATACAGTTGCATACTTTTCCTAACAGTTGCCATTACACTATTAATCTTAAATTTCTAAATATACACAACAAAAAGCAAATGGATTGAGATTTTTGTGGATTCATTAATAACCAACCCCATTTTGTGTTCAATAACCATTTGAGATCAATTAACTTCCCAAAATCTAATGAGGTAGATAGATCAAATGGCCTTCCCTTGTTTGTAATGTTTTTAACTTAATCGCTTAACTTCATTGTAATTCTAAAGTCTATTTTGACTCATTTATGTGGAAGCTTAGCCTACTGGAAACAAATTATAGCAATTATTGACAATGATTCCATATTTAATAAACTCTTTAAAACAAAATAACACTCTTATTTTGTCATTTTGGATGGAGATAATAAAGATTTTTACACTGACAACTTTTTAAAGTGTGTTTTAGCAGTCCCGCTATTACATAGTTCATTGTTTATTTACAAAATTCAGATTTATAGCAGCTTGAACACTTAAAATGTACACTAACACATGAAATATGGGGAAATACACAACTACAGTGCTTTACAATACACACATAAAGCACATAAAACAAAATTATTTCAGATTTATAAAAGAGCAGACGAACTACACAGCTACTACACAACAAATCAGGTGGAGAAGTGAAAAATTATTTCCCTCAACTGAATTAAGAGGAAAATGTGGGTAAACCAGATTAAGAAAGTCCAAGAAGCTAGCACATCTTACAGTACAGTGTAATGGGGCACTGGGATGAAATCTCAGGTCCAGGGATGAGAGAAATTGCACCCCCTACTGGTCCACAAGCACCACTTACAACACCAATATGTTTTTACTTAAATTTCACATACATGTACCAACCAAGTCGACTCTGGTCTTTGGTCAGACCTCACTCTTAGCTACAGGTTTTTGAATATTGAGCTGTCTTCATAAATAAAATGAGTGTTGAGGCATCGTCCTAATAGCAATATACAGTCATAACCACTCACACAATACTGTAAACACACATAGAGCTCTTTAACCTTTAAACACACTCTTTTACCACATTAGTCACCAGATTCTTAATTTCCTACTTCATACCGAACCACGTAAGACACACTGATTATCTCAATATGGTCAATGTTTGCTAAGCATTATTGTATTTTATTAGCTGGGCTTCTGATGCTCTATACTCAATACTGAACAGGGGAAGGACGGTACAATACACGTGCTCTCTAATGTAACGCAGTCCTAAACCTTTTCAAAATCTTAACAACGCCACGAAGAAGAAAAAAAAAACTAGAAAAAACGGGACTTTTTGGATGCAAGTTAAGACAGAAACATATCTGGTAAAAAAAAATAGTTCCATTTGAAACGCCACCTCGTTACTGCATTCAGTCTTTTCTTTATAATACCACAATTAAATCGCTATAACTTATAAAACAAACGCTATAAGTACGTCAACAGTAATAATAGCAATACGGATGGTTTAGGCCAGATTCTCACCTGCTTCACACGTTGCTGTGTCGTTTTTCTCATTTTCCATGGTACAGAACTTTAGTCTTTTTACTCAACCAGCGAGTCGTTTCCCTTTTCCCCCCTTGAAAAACGACATCGGTCAGTTCGTATGTCTTTTGTGTCAAACAGCATTCCGGAGCTTTCTGAAAACATCACAAAACTCCCGAAGTCGAAAAGTTATTATCTCACTGTAGGCCTGTATTCCTTGTGCAATATAACCACATTTGATCGCTTCATCCCAAAGGACTGTCAGTCTAGCTTTCTGTCGAAAAGTATGCAGTAACCAGGAAGAGGTTTAAAGAACGTCCTAAAACCTCCGAGACATTAGCAAGCGATTTCAGGTTTTGGTTTTGTTTCGTTTTTTTTTCAGTCTTTAACCGCAACAGTCAAACAAATCACCGTGCGCGAATATTCCGCAATAAGATTGTTTCCTCTGGCTCCAGGAGATGAAGTTATGAATGCCGCAAAACGAAAAAGAAACAGAAACTTCGGTTTTTACTACGCGTACCCATTTTGTAAGCATACGACAGAGAAGCCTTCCTGCACAAACTGAGCACGTAGTTAAAAAAGGGGTTGTGTTTCCTGGCAGCACAGGATGTAGTTTAAAACAGGGAAGCAGTCACGGTACTGAATAGAAAAGAAATAGCACTGTAAAACGGCGGCGACTGATTAAAAAAACACGTATATTCTTATAAAATCAAGATGATTCTGCGAAAACGGACGGTTTTGTGAGTTTATACAACGTCTCTTTAACATTTATTTCTAATTCGTGCTAAATAAAGCGCAATATTTAACACGTAGCACAAACCTGAACTAACATTATCGCAAACTTAATAGAACACCGTATGGCTTTCAATTTCTGAATACGTCGTGAAATTTGAAATAAAACCAGATGTTTGTTTTTGTTGTTGTTTTTGTTGCTTTTCAAAAACGTTACAGTGTCGACCACGTGGCGCGGTTAGGACCTATCGCTTAATTTGCACAACTATAAACCCCCACCTAGCGACTCGCAACATAAACGTTGCTGGGGTACAGTTAAGGCATTGTGTAAACCAGTTTGGAAAGGTTAAAATGACTTACAACCGAACTGGGTTTTTAGATAACCCTCATGTAAAGCAAAACAATTTTGCAAACCATTAGATGAGAATCAGTCCAGATTTCTTATACTCGGTGTTAGGAAAAGCTACTTTTGTCAAAAAAATGTGGTACATGACAGTTACAAGTTGTTTGTGTACGAGTTTTACTTTTTAGAATTCACAAGCGTAGGACAAATAATTTTCCATAAAAATCAAATTTAGCAAACTCAGTAGTTACTAGTAAAGAAATACATGATCAAATCAAATTACTCCAACTTCATTTTAATAATAAATGGTAACCCTTATGTAAGGAGTTTATAAAAACAATGCAATGTAGTAGTTTAACCCCAAATGTACAGTAGTCTTTATTTAAATCAGAGTAATTTGAATGCTCTTCTGATCTGAGTAACTGTAACAATATGTCAATATGTCCTTTGAATACATAACGCCATTCCTTCCGTTCATACATTTTCAGTAGCTGCTGCATCCTTGGAGTGGCATGGAGCTGAAATCTAATCCATGCGGCAGGACTACCACTGTGGATAGGATACAGTGGAGAGCCACCTCCTACTTCAGAAAGACTTTAAGATGAAGATAATTGTATTGGCCATATACAATTTCTTGTAATAGGAATTTGTCTTTTTTCACATACCCCAACTTGCTCTCCATGAGACACACAGATAGGGAGAGAAGCTTGGGCTCAGAGCGCGGGGTCAGAGCGCAGGGTCAGCCATTAATACGGCACCCCTGGAGAAGTTGAGGTTAAGGGCCTCGCTTAGGGGCCCAACGGAGTAGGATTCCTCTGTCGGCCGCGGGACACGAACCGGCAACCTTCCACCTACAGGCGCAGATCTATAGCCACAGAGCCAGCCATACCATGCCTCTTCTATAACACGGAGCAAACAGTGTGCTGTTGGTAGAGATCACCAGGAAAAAAAGCAGTTGGAGAGTGATGTCTGGGCTTCTTTACAGGAGGTGGTTACTATTTAACCACACAAAGTCACCTGTCTGCGAAGAAATTAGAGAAGATGAACATGAGAGGAAGCCATTTTGCCTACTTAGTTGCTAGTTATTAATTGCTCTGAAGATCTCATCCAGCGAGTGTACAATGTGTACTTACAAATCCAAGAAATATAGATGATATTGTACTATAGTATGCATTGCATCTAAATGTATGTGAAAGTAGGCAGCAGTGTTAGCATGCTTAGGCTGCAAAGGAAGTTTTTAAACATTTGATCTGGTCTTTTCTTAAACAACCAACTGGATTTATATTTCCCAAATCAATGATTTTTTAGAGGAAGTGCTATATGAAGCAGAACAAATGAAAAATTATTAAGCAATGTATTTGAAGTAAGTAAACCCCAAGTTTGTGTATCACAATTAAAGGGGTAATTGGAATCAGGTATTTAAATGATTAGGTAACAAGTAAACAATATAATATAATATATATAATATCATATATAGTCCTTTATAATGGTCAGAAACTTTGTGAGTTTGTTCTTTAGATGTAAAAGAAATATATATTCCAATCAGTATGTTGTTTAATGGAAAGCACCCATGGTTAAACTATTTTTAAAAATACTTAATATACTTCAGTTCAAAACAACAAACTGTAATATTGGAGTTTGACAGTTGGTTAGAATGTTGATGCAGGTACTGTATACAGTACATGACCTTAGCTCCGAAGTAAATGAGGAAGACCAACTGTAAGTGTATCCTGGGTCTTTATAAGATAAGATTACATCACTTTATTGGCCATTTACAATTTCTTGTATTAGGAATTTGTCTTTTCACATACCCCAACTTGCTCTTCATGAGACACACAGACAGGGAGAGAAGCGTGGGGTCAGAGCACAGGGTCAGACATTCATGCAGCTCCCCTGGAGCAGTTGGGGTTAAGGGCCTTGCTCAGGGGTCCAACGGAGTAGGATTCTCGCAGGATATGAACTGGCAACCTTCCAGACACAGGCGCAGATCCTTAGCCACAAAGCCACTGCGCTGCCCCCTTTTTATATCTCCTAATTTAACAGTAACGCTACTAATTCAACACTAATGACATAAAATGTCATTTGAATACATCGTGCTTTTCCTTGCATTCCATTCATCCATTTTCAGTAACTGCTTCATTCTTGGAGGGACATGGACAGCTGAAATCTAATTTCCACCCGGCAGGACAACCACCATAGACTGGATACAGTTTTTCTGGATTTGAGTGGAGCGCTAGCTCACACTTCAGAAAGACTTTATATGGCCATATAATGCTTCTTCACTAATGCTTAGCAAAGTGTTGGCAGAGGCCACCAGGAAAAGAGCAGGTGGAAAGTGATTATATGAGCTCCTTTGCAGGAGGTGGTTACTATGCATCTGGACAAAAATCACCTGTATGTGACCTGGAATGCAAATGTATCTCAAAAGTAAATGATGAAGACCAATTTCAACTGTATCCCTTGTCTTCATTTCTCCTGATTTAACAGTATTACTACCTGTTACTTGTGTTTCTGTCTGAGACTTGTAACAGTCCCCATACAGGTTTTAAGAAAACGTGTAATGCCATGCTTAAAAAGATTTCAGAAGACTATGTAAAATCGGTAGTTGATGCTTGTCACGCTGGACAGGGTTGCAAAACCATTTCTATTTGAGGCTCTACACATCCATAGTCAAAGAGTCAATGAATGGAAATTATTCAAGATCATGGTGACACTACCCAGGACCAGTTGTTCTTCCAAGATCTCCGTAATTAAACCCAGAATATCGTCTAGAAGGTCACAAAGAACCCTGGAATAACATCGAAGGATCTACACACCTCTCTGATTGTGGATAGTGCCAGTGTACATGTCTGAGTTATCAGGAAAAGACTGAATTGGAATGTTTTTGGGGCAAAGATAGACAGTAAGAACTTACTGCTCTCTACAAAGGACATTGTCACCCTTCTGAAGTTTGCCAAAGAGCACTTGGACGATCTACAAGACAAGTGGAAGAATTTTCTCTCAACAGATGAGTCAAAAGTTTTCTGGTCACGGTAAACTTTTTTGTGTGGCGAAAACCATTACCTTGTCTTCCAGCAGAAGAACCTTCCCAACGTCTAGCATTGCGGTAGGAGTATCATGGTTTACTTTGCTACCTCAGGACCTGGGCAGCTTGTCATCATTGACGGAACCATGAATTTGGCATTGTATCAGCAATTTCTGGAGGAGAATCTCTGCCATTCGTCAGCTGAAGGTGAATGCAAAGTGTCATACAGCAAGACGATCTTAAACACACAAGCAGATCTACAATAGAATGGCTGAAGGAGATTGTGTTTAGCATTTTAGGGAGTGCAAGTCAAGGTCTGGACCTAATAGTTATGTTGAATGGTTATGGCAGGACCTTGAGAGGTATCACTTCCGTGGTAAATAATTGAGTGACTAATTCAATTAATACATTAACCTTTTCACTTTCATTAAAAGCAGTATAGATTTCCCATTATCATCTCTGAGTCACTTTAATCCATCCTTTACTGTTACCATGTCCTTTATTACTACGTTTTATTATTCTTTTGCTGTTGTAACACTGAGAAGAGATGTTATCAATTATTTTATCCTCTGTTGCAATTTCTGGCTTTTCAAATATCTTTTAGTATCTATGATGACTTCATTTCTATAAATGTCCTTTTTTAATGTTTTTGTTGTAGTTTTCCTAGATTGCTAAAACAATTTGCAACTGTGACTCACATCATCAAAACTAAAATGAGCAAAACAGAAACATTTCTTTTTGTAAAACTAAGTAATCTATCATTGCTTTCCCAGAAAATCCAAATGTCAGTCACCTCTTGTGGTAAACAATAAAAATGATGCTCTACGAATGACATAAAAATCAAGTAGAAATATACGGTCAAACAAAACTCATTTTTTCCCAGTTGATAATAATTACTCCCACGTGGGATTACTCCCATATGTATTACACACATGCAAGTAATCTTAAGCTAATTGTTAAAATATCACTCAGTTCATAATTGCACATGAAGAGGGTCACTGTTCAGTTGGAGATGGATGGTCAAAAGAGGAGGAAGAGGGGTACCACAACCCTAGGGGTGAAGAGGTGGAGGAAGACTGCAGAGAGTTGAGGTGCCAAAAAGAAATATTAATGGGCACTGTTGATCCTGGTCGTTCACTGCGTGAACCAGTGGCCAGGCCAGAGGCGTGTTCAGCTGTAGCATCAATTATTGGACTTGAGAATAGGTAAGAGATCGTATACTGTATAAACTTGATGGACAGTAATAAATTAGTAAATAAAATCCATTTTTGGAGTTTTTTCTCTTCTGAAATTTATGGAGTCATTTTTTGTCCAGTAGAAATCTATTTTTTTAATTTATAGAACTGACAGAAAACCCTGTCCTGGTGGTCAAGGCAAGGTTTTCAATGTTGAACAGGAGGCAGCAATTGTTGACCTGGTGCCTGCAAACAATGCCATGTTGGGTTTTTTTCAAAATCAACTTTATTGCACAAGATACATTAATCGTGCAATGAGTACATACTCTCGCAAAGCATAAACTCTCTAGTATGTTATAGTAAAGTTCTTAAAGGTGTTTCTCCTTTTTCAATCTGTGCACGTGGTTGCTGGGGCTTGATTTGCACAAAAAGAGTCCCTCCGAGACCTACCACTTGCTGTTGTCCGTCTCTTTTCCCTGTCCTGGAACTGAAACTGCAGTTGCCCAGTTCTCTGCAGGAGCTCAAATGAACAGGTTTTTCCTCCTTTCTCCCTATACAGGGCCCACAGTCCCTTCCAGCACTCCTTTGGTAACATTGCACTTCATTCTCCCTCTGAGGTTTGCAAGCATCCTCTCCTCCAGCTCCCTCGCTTCCCACTCTGTGCTGGAGAAGTGTTCCTCATGTTCCACAGTCCTTGTTTTATTAGGAACACTAGCAGCCATAGCAGGTATTGTGTCCCTTTTGTCTATTCCAATCGGGCCAGCCCCAGCAGTTTATACTGGCAGCTTAGCTTCGTTCCCGCTCCCAGGAGTATTGTCCATTCTGACCCATGCTGCTTTGGTGAAGAAACAGCTCCAGGACACTTTCTCCGGCATCTCCTCGAAAAATGTGTCCCAGGGGAATGTGGGTTCCTGGTGAGCGAGTGTCTGTAGCGGACCTCTCTGATTGCCAGCCTCTGGTACACGTCCATCCAGTTAAAGTCTTTTAACTTTTTGTTGAGTTCCTTTGGCTGCGTCCTTTCCCAGACTTGTCTGAGTACCTGCAGCCACTCTCTGGCAACCAGTTGGCCTCTCACCTCTTTGTACAGGGCCCTGTGGCTGGTGCAGAGCTCTGGTTGTCTCATGGTCTCTCGCCTCCGGATCCATTTGACAGGGTGGGTGTAGGTCTCCAGTCGCTTTTCCGCTTTTGGTTCTGTGTTTGTCACTGGATCAGGTGCCTCATAGGGAAGGAGAACCACAACCTGATGAAGTACTGGTACCTGTGGCTGAGCGAATCTCGCAACACCTGATAGAGGTTGCAGAAAAAGATGCAGTCGAGTTTTAGGGGGAAATGCAGCACGTCTCTCCCCCCTTCCTCGACCACCTGATGCATCCAGTTTCTTGTGACGTGCTCGTACCTGCCACTCTAGACAAACTTGAAGACCACTCCTTGCATCTTGCAAACAATTCCATATTCCTTTAATAGGCTTCTGGGAAATCTGGCCCTAGGTGTGATTGAGTATGGGTTGGTGTGTCTGCTCTCCGATGGACTGGTGTCCTGGCCAGGGTGTACCCTGCCTTGTGCCTGCTGCTTTCCAGGATAGGCTCCAGCTCCCTCGTGACCTACCTCGTGTAAATATCTTTATCCTTTCCCCTAGTAATAATTCTTTACACTTATATAGCGCTTTTCTGGACAATCCTCTCTAAAGGGCTTTACAGACTCCCCAACACCACTAATGTGCAGCTCCCACCTGGATGATGCGACGGCAGCCATAGTGCACCAGTCTGCTCACCACACATCAGCTGTTAGGGGGGAAGGGAACAGTATGAAGCCAATTCATACATGGGGATTATTAGGAGGCCATGATCAGTAAAGACCGATGGGAAAGTTTGGCCAGGACACCCCTACTCTTTTAAAAAAAACACTCTGGGATTTTTAATGACCACAGAGAGTCAGGACCTCGGTTTTACATTTCATCTGAAGGACAGCAACACGAAGCACGAAGACAGAAAGAAAGAAGATGCCCCCTGCTTTAATAGAGGGGAGGCTCGATTGGGTGAGCCTTGAGGGGAAAGGTTAGGGGTCACTGGATCAGTCCACTCCAGGGGGGTGGGGAGGTGAGCAGATTTCTACAGTATGTCATTGTTTTCCATCAGTCGTATAACAATAGGATTAAATAATGCATGAAGTGGAGTTTTATCAATGCCTTTTACTGCTTTAACATGCTGATCAGCGGGATCCGCCTGATTGATCTCTCTGTTGCCTATTCTTTTTTGAGAGACAGTGTGATTGAAGTAAAAACACCCACATCATTCTTATACATCAAGGTCTTTATATAAACATTTAATAGCGTTCAGGACTTACTGGGTTGTTTGTTTAGGTAAGGAAATGTCACAAGTGATGTTCTACAAGATTTAACATGAACATGCATTCCATAGCAAAAGCAAATGACCGTGTTAAGCACATTTTGAATAAGCAGTTTATATAATTGGTGTATATATATATTATGGCGACAGTCTGTATAAAACATTACCAGTAACAATCCGGGGGCCGTTTGTTCATGTCATTATAAACACGAGTAGTGAAATTTGAATGTATATGGAAAACAACAACCAAGCACTTTGCAATACGTTAGACATACCCTCGTCTAGAACCTTAAAATTAATGTGACACAAATTTATTTTTACGCTCGACGGAGAGCTTTAAAGTGATTACTTAAAGGTCTACTTCATAGTATTCACTGACCCCTGCCTTTCCCCATTCATATTTTGTTTCCCATATTGCCAGCTGTGCATATTTGCCAGCTCGCAAATCTATATTGTGTTTTATTTTCAAATCGTCAATAGGATAGTATCGGCAAATATTAAAAATATTTTTTGCATGTGCAAAACATTTCAGTTTGGAAACGTCTTGTCTTGCCAAATTAAAAAGGTTCATTTAGCAACAGTAGACGCCTGAAAATGTTCAAACTACTATTCCCATGAAGCCTTTGTGCACATTGTATCCTGTAACCCTTGACTTTGACGATTCAAAATAGTCGGACCACGTGATTCTTTACCATCAGTGTATAAACAGCTTTGTATGTATATTATACTAAAATAGTTTATTGTTTGGTTTTGTGCATAGCGGTAAAAGAACGCGTTAATGGAAACCAGCACGGCAAGAGTGAACATAGGAGACATTGGTGAGTTACACAGATCTGGACTAGAGTTCAGCTGTTCTGCTGTCCAATTTGAGAAACACACACCAGCTACCTGATTCCAATACATGCGTGCCTGTATAGACTCGGAGACCTTGTTTTGGGAACATGGGTTGCTTGTGATAGTCAGGAAGTAGTTCAATCTTATTATCTGCTAAGAACAACTACAACACTCAAGTAAAATATTATCCAGCTGTGTTTTTTTACTGCTTTAGGCAAGGATTAGGAATTCATACAGACGTGTATGTTACAGTAGTATTACAGTATGTGTGAAGACAGTTAATGTTCTATCTCGAAACGGTGTTATTGTATCAAAAGTGACACAGTCAAAGGTGTAATAAAAATAAGGCAGTTTAGCTTAATTGCATCACGATATACGCTTGAGAAAAGGCAGTCCGTGTGACGTTATGCAGAGTGCAATGGCTTGTTTACAAGGACAAGCTGTAAAACCGGTTGCACAAGATCTTAATATCTAGTTACAGGTTGTGAACCATGTCAGTGTGCTACTTCATGATAACAACTTGTAATGCCTGTGGCAATCTCAGGCACATCACTAGGTGCTGATAATGTTCCTAAGAGTAACATGTAATGGTGCCTCAGTTTGCAAGGTTATGATTCTGGTTTGTAAATGTTGTTTAAGTCAGTTAGGAACAACGTCAGAGCAAGATCGTAGTACCACTAATCTTGCCTCCAAAAGAACTGCTAGTAGTGACAAAATTATATCCGGCTTCTTCAGTAGGATACCACTGGCAACAATTTACTAAAGCACAGGTGATCATTGATCAGAAGCTGCTATTGCCATAACAGTTCAGGTGGGTAGCTGCATCAGCATGTGTAGGCTGTAAAGGAACAAGTAATAGGTTCATTCCATGCTGAAAAGAGAGGAAAGAAAACACAAAGTTTCGGCCATGGAGCCTTCTTCGGGTGTGAGAAAGACAGGGCAGTAAGCAAAGATAATGTAGCAGGAGAACAAAAGCTGGGAGAGAGGAGGGGCCGCAGGCAGGATCAGGGGAAAGACAGAGTGGCCAGTCAGGATAGGTGAGGAGAGGTGTGAAATGAAAACAACAATGAATAGAGAGAATTTAGAAGAAAATTAGTCTGTTGTTGGGAGAGGGGAAAAGGTGTGATCCTAACTGCAGGATAATTTTAGTTTCAGTAGTCTTTCTGATGTGGGAGTTAGGAAAACCATCTTTGAGAACACAGATGGAGAGATTAGTGTGATCATGGCTGTCAGAGGTGAAATGAGAAACAATAGCCTCGGAGAAATCTCTAATCTTCACAGCCCTAACATGTTCTCTGAAGCGATCTTGGAGTCTCCTTCCTGTTTCTCCAATGTAGATGCCTGGGCATTTACTGCAAGAGATACAGTAAACAAGGTTGCTGGAGGTACAAGATGTCATCTGAGTGATCCGGAATTGTCCTGAGGGGCCTTGAATAAGTGTGGTGTTAGATATGTAAGGCTGAAATATTGCCATAATAGTGTAACCACACTAGAGAAAGACCTGTAGAATAATGACAAAATTTGAATTTGTATTTTTAATTTGTTAAATTATATTGGGCTGAAATGTCCAATATTAGCTAACTTTAATTTAAGAATGCACTTTTATTTGTTTACTCAAATGTCTGTAAGCTGCTGTGTTAAGCTGGAGTTTTCAGTACTCAGTTCTTTTTTTATTTTACGTGCAAAAGGTTAAATTGAGAGCAACAGTCAACATTATTGACACCTGAAGAAGGCTCCACGGCCGAAACGTTGTGTTCTCTTTCTTCTTTTTTTCAGCATGGAATAAACCTATTACTTGTTCCTTTGCAGTCAACATTATTGTACATTTTTTAAAATTTTACAGACACAATATAATAAATGAGGTTTTTATCAAGAACAAATTTCCTGAATTCTACATTCCAACACTTAAGCCTGAAAATTGACCTTGAGTAGCCTGGTTTTGGGAGAGCCTGTCACATTCTGTATATTTGAGATCAGTAGAAGTAAGAGGTACAGTTTTCAGCCCATCTTGCTCATCTGGGTGTTAGTAACTAATTAATCTGAGCATCTTCTCTATTCTTTTCAAGAATTGCTAGCTTATTTGCTTGCCTTATTGCTTTTGCCTTTGCCCATAGGGTTCTGGGCTGATCGAACCGCAGTGCACGAGGCAGCCAGCCATGGGCAGGTCCTGCAGCTGAAGCAGCTAATCGAGAGCGGAGCCTGTGTGAACGTAGTCACCGTCGACTCCATCACGCCACTTCATGAAGCCTGCCTGCAAGGCCAGACTCACTGTGTCCGGTTACTGCTGGCAGCAGGTGCACAGGTGAGACTTAATCTTGATATTATATTGCCACACGTAGAATAATTAAAGGTTCACTGCATTTTACCTCTTGTCAAATCTGGCATAAGGAGGTCTACAGCATTATTTAGATGGTAAATAAAGGTATATATCTGGATGCAGTGAGAACATGTATTGTATCAGCTTTGTTAAATATTATTTTATTTACGTTTGTTATGAAAAAATGTTTTGAACAGTTGTTAGTGGTCTTCACATCACCATATGCAAAATTTTTGCCAGTTCCGTTTCCGAAGTACTTTTTGTAGTGACACTGTGAAACAAACAAGCAACGGATCAGCAAACATAGTCTAAAAGTGTTGAAGGATGCCAACTGATATTGAAATATCAATTCCGCATGCAGCGATTTCAGGAGAATTGGATTGATTGCGGTGTGATGTTTGTGTTTTTAGGTTGATGCAAGAAACATCGATGGCAGTACTCCTTTGTGTGACGCCTGTGCCGCTGGAAGTATAGAGTGCGTGAAGTTACTTTTAGAACATGGAGCCAAAGTAAATCCTGCTCTGTTTACTGCTTCTCCTCTTCATGAGGCCTGCATGAGTGGTAATATACACTTTACTGCTCATTCAAATCATCTCACCTGGTTTCAACCTCTCTTCTTTACAGTTGCTGCATGTGTATTGCTTTCCGGAAAAATATGATTCTCTTTGGATATGTGCTGTCCTCTGTCAACAGCCATAGCCAGGCAAAATATTCTCTCAGGCCATTTTAAAAATATCAGGCAAAAGATGATGTTGTTATGGAGACCGCAAACTCTGATCTGTTGGCGACAAAAAACTACTGTATCTGTGATGAGGGGGGCTCAGGAATTTGTGGCTGTGACATCACTTGGAAATTTGACAAAAATAAACATAAATAAATACCATCAACATACACGGGCAATTCTGAATGAATCCCCGAGAAATTTTCCCAGTAAATCCAATTCCTGGGGCTCCTTCACACACATCCTGTGCCAGGAATGAGCTACCTTCCCATTAAACAGAGTATTCTTAGTGCAGTTGTAATCAGCATCAGGAGGCAAGATGCTTTGAAGCTTTCACAGCTCTCATGCAGATAATTCATATTACTGTTGCTGTCCAACACAGGAATTTGCATTTAATTATTTTTGTTCCGCATTAATGAGAAAGTCAGTCTGTTAGGGGTGGATGAGCCTTTTAGACCACAGCTTTTATTCTTTACAGTTTTTATTCTGTGAATTTTACTTAGTATGACGAGTTCACCAAGAGAAAGCTGATGATGCCGCACTGTTCTGTAACATTACACCCAGGCAGTACAGGAGCTATTGTTGTTGCAAGTACAAAGTGTTCAACAAATGATTCACATTTGCAACTTCAGTGCTGGTTATAATAGTTTATTACACTCATAGTGCCTTACTTATTTATTTATGCTATCAATGAAATTGAAAAAAAACATAATATAAATGAAAGATTTCTACATTGGATTAATGTGTCCTGCTGAACAAATAAAAAACGTTATGATGGTGGAATTTTGATTATTCCTCCATTTCTCTTGGTGCTCCAGACCTCTTGGATTTTGTTTGTGAGCGGCCATCTTGAGTTTGAATCACGATTGATTGCACTGATGCGTGGAGATTGAGATTCCCGGTTGGGAACACTTCTTTGCCAATTTGGATGTGCAGTAATGTGATGATGGCATCACTTTTTTTTTACACCAAACATAAGATTGATAAGCATGTCTGAAAAGTTGACCTCTTGGTGGGGTTTTTTTTAACAACGAACACAACAGTGGAAGGCGGTAGACTCAGCTTTTCTTTTGCGGCCACCCACAATTTGTGGATGTCAATGATTGTTTGCTGCAGTCTTTAAAAAAGTCTGCGAACTTAACAGTGAAGATGCATCCTGCTATGTCTTCCATTTATTTCCTCCTTTTACAAACCTTTGGAGGCCTCTCCATAGCCTTGGGGCTTTCAGTGCACGTCCATAGAGGAGAATGTTATTATACGTTTGTTTTTGTTGGATTCTAATGAAAGAAACAATTCTGTGCATTACAATTACAGTATCATTACATTTTATTACATGTATTAAAGGCTATTACATTTTTAGAATTGTTTCTTACGTAAGATATTGTCCAATGCAGAACCCATTCAGTCATATTGGGTTTTTTTGTATTTCATCTGGGGTATGAATAAATCTGGAAGGCACTGCATACTTTTATTGAGAGTACAATTTACTGCATTTACATTTGTTTTTCAGAATACATCAAACCAAAGTACTTGACTGTTTTATCATTTAAAAGTTCTTTGTGTTGAGAAATATTATGGATATTTTCCCTTTCCAGGTAACTCAGATTGTGTTAGACTTATGATCTCAGAAGGGGCCAAGCTGGAGGCCCATGACTGCCATTTTGGAACTCCACTGCACGCTGCCTGTGCCAGAGAGCATGTGGACTGCGTCAAGGTGCTGCTGAATGCAGGTAGACTTCAAGTGTCTTTTAGTGCCTGCTATGAAATAATTACTCATTTAAATTTTAACATGTGTTACTTCAGGTAAGAAACACTTAAAGGCAAGCATCGTAGTACTTGGAGAACCTCTACAATGTGTCTAAGGGTAATAAAAAGTTCAGAAAAACAGCTCCTAAATTTGAATGAATTCTATAAGACAACTATTGAGATTTCCAAACTCGGGGATCCCTTTACTCATGCCTTACTTCCTTTGTGCATACATGCACTGCAACATTTTAAAAAAGGAATATGTGTTTTTACTTTCAATCATCGATTGATTAACAGCTTTGAATACAATATTATGAGACTCTGATGTTCATCTGTCCACTGTGTCCTTTGAGGGACATAGAGAGCCAGAACCTGTCAGCAAGCACCAAGGCTCAACACAGGACTACATTATAGATGGGACTCCACTGCCCCACAGGCACAGTACACAGGCACGCATTCACTGCAGTAGTCATCTGTGTGTCGAATATTTCAGGACTCATGGGCCTTTAATTATTCCTCAGAGTTAAGATGACCAAAAACTCTTAAAACATACATTGTAATGACGTGACGAATTTGTATGCTTGTGAATTGCCACAGGTCAGTGCAAGGCAGGGAACATCTGGAATGCTGAAATAGCACTTGTCTTCACATGGTGGCTAGGTCAGCATCATGCACTGACCCCTCTGTCATCAGATCTGAACACAGTAACTATGCAGATTCAGCTGAGTTGACATAGACCATAATCAGATAGGATTGTTAACATAGCACTGGCATTACAGAATGAATAAAGGGTCAGTTATGGTGGTCAGGTGCTTAAGGGAGGCTGTGTGGGAAAGATGAGTATACTCTGAGTCTTTGGTCCAGACCGGGCGAGTAGAGAGATCCGCTGAAAGCACCGGTCTTCCAGATGTCTGGGGAGCCAGCAGCTTTGAAACCAGACAGGCAGCTTTCCCCTGAAGAGCTGGAGGGAGCCTCAGCCTCTCTCACCTCCAGTCTGCCTGCTGGCTCTCTTTGGCCACACTGTGGTGGAGCAGGTTGATGTTAGTTGGGCTATCGCCCCCTGGTGGCTGTACCATAGTGTTGCGTTCTACCTTGTGAAATGTGGCCTCCCGTGCTGTTTCCATCTCTCTATTTCTCCTGTCATTTTTTTTTCTTGCTCCCGCATGCGGAAGAAGATCATGATCATGGTGTGCTGACACATATGTTCCCATCTGCATGGATGTGTTTTATGGTGGACAGTTCACTCTTAAAACGCCTGACTTGCATGCAAGTGATTTGTACCCCATATTATATTTGAACTTACAATGAATTTACAATGACCTGGTATCGCAGTTAAAACGTATTGAATGTACAGAACGTCTAAATCTGGCTTGATGTTTTTCTGGGATCTGGCATTACCTTTTTATAGAGCTTCAGTATACATACAGTAGAACTGAACAATGACCAATACCCAGTATATAACGTTAATGTTTAATGTTAAGAAATCTCTCCAAAGAAAACACTTGTAAACTGTAAACTTCAAATATTATACTGCTGTTACAAATGTACTGTACAGATGTACAGTTATTTATTTTTACTACCAAGTATGGGATCTATGAATTTGCCAACTATGCATTGTACGTGTAGGCCTCTTCTTTCCAGACTCACTAGTATGGTATTTTGAATTTTTCCTTATAAATTTTGTCTAAATGAAGCACATTTGATTTTGTATGTTTGTCTGAAATTTTTGCTGTTTTTGGAGGCATCGGTACCTTTCTGTCTTTTAAAAAAGTAGATATTTTCTTTTAAAAATGTCAGTGCCGCAATAATGAAGATTGAATGTGTGTGATCTGTTTTGCAAGGTGCAAAGGTGAATGCAGCCAAACTTCACGAGACAGCTCTTCATCATGCAGCCAAAGTAAAGAATGTGGACTTAATTGAAATGCTGGTTGAATTTGGAGGGAATGTGTATGCCAGGGATAACCAGGGTAAAAAGCCAATTGACTATACCAGAGCTGGCTCTCCACCTTTACTCTGCCTGCAGTTTTATGAAAGTAAGTTTTTAGTGTTTGTTGTCCTTTCATTACCCGAAATAACTTTCTTAGTTTTGTATCTATATTATTCCAGCGTTTGGTAATATAGACTCTGCCTTTATAGTACAGAGTTCATAGCAGTAGAGAAAACGTGCAGACCGGGTAGCACCTGGAAATATTTGTCATTTTTGTGCAGGTGTTGCAAAGTCGCTGGGTCACTTTTTGTGTTTTCTTACTATGAGGCAGTGAAACAGTGGTTAGGGCTTTGGGCTCGGCGCCCTTGGGCTGTGGGTTAAAATCCTGTGGGGAATGCTGCTGAACATTGTGCTTCACTCACGCAGTTCCGGCAGATGCCGTGTTGTGAAAATACTGTCCAGTGGTCATTGTAAATTAGAATTTGTCCCGAGTGCCCTTATCCTTTGTCAATAAAGAATAATAATAATTGCTTACATGTCAGGACCTCGGTTTTACCTGTCATACGAAGCACAGCACCTTTTTACAGTATAGTGTCCCCATCACTATACTGGGGCATTAGGACCCTGGACCACAGGGTGAGCGAAGAATTTCTTCTGCCTTGACACCACGTGGCTAATCTACAAAAGAGCCCACACCAAGTAACCTTTTATAACTTCAAAAGAATGTATCTTTTGAATACTTATAAAGCATCTTTAAGCTTTTTTGAACCCAAAAGAGAGAGCTGAGTAGTACCTGTACTAAGGAATACATTAACAACTCATTTCACTTCCAGCTAGCTGATTGACTGGACAAGGCCTTCCTCATTTGGCAAAAGATGGAACTACAGTCTGGAAGCAACACTTGACACTGATTTTACTTTGAAAATTATATTAGTGCTTTCTTGTTAGTCACTAAATAAGATTATTTTTTTAAAACAAAATTAGAATCGCCAGATATGTTGGATTAGCATGTTATGTGATTTCCGTATTTACCCCAATGCAGCACACAGGGAAGAAACTGCAAAACTAGGCAGACTGCTCTGTCCTGCCACTATTGAGCCTTGTTAAAAAATGTCATAGGTAACACAGCAAAGGCTTAGTGCCGCATAGGAGGCTGCATGATTCACAGTGTCATCAACAGTCAACAGGTCCCATCTGACACCAGATGGCGCTTAGCCTACTGCACACTGCCAGTAGAGGAATTGCCTCACAGGAACCTAGTATGTGACCCAGGCTTGAACGTGACCCAACGTGTCAGATCCCTTACTGTTTGAGCAATTCAGGAGGCCTCCATAGGATCAATTTAGGTTAGGAGAGTTAAACCACCATTGTCATCTTTCTTAAAGATGGGAGCCAGCTGTACTTCACCGCACAGTAATCCCCCACTATACCAGCAACTGCTATAATTGAGTTTTTATTCATATGAGTAGTAGTCATTCCTGACTGTTTTTTTTTTTCATTTAACAAGCAGATTTTCACTCTGACAAGCTGGGCTCTCGTAAAGCATTCTTCTTTTTTGGGTTCTTCACAGATGAGAATTCTTTTACATTTTAACATTTTAACAAAACAATGAGATTGCACTTGTGTTGAAAAGGATGTTTTTTAAACCAAGATTAGAATACTCAAGATGTGACTTTAAACTATGAAATTGTTTATTAATTTTTTCGCCTTTATTCACAAGTTTTCTGTCCTACTGCAGGAAACCCACTGAGCTTGCAGCAGCTGAGTAGGGTCAGTCTGAGGAAAGCCCTGGGGACAACAGGCCTTGAAGTAGTAGCCCAGCTCAATATCCCACAGAGAATAATCAACTACCTCTCTTACCTATGAACTCAGCTGCGGGAATGGAACTGCAGTATACTTGAACACTTCGGTGCAATATCACAGTTAAAGCTAAACATGTAATAGTACAGGTACTGTATAAAGATCTCTGCATATCATGCTTCAGTGTTATGATGGTATACCTTCATCTTTACAGTGCAAAACCAGCAGAAAATGTTCTAGAATACATCAGTGGTGAATCACTTTTTCTGTTGTAGTACAATATCAACTGGCAATCTGAAAGCCTAGAATTCTAATTAATTCTGATATGTAGTGTAAGATTAAATTGTATTTTGAGAACTTCATCAGACAAAGGGTCAATTTCAGTTTTATGTATGACTGAGAAATAAAAGAACTGGGATCATAAATAGAAATCGTTTTTCCTCATGTAACTTATATACAGTGTTTAGATATCGCCTGGCACATACCAGTTGTACACCCAGAGTGGAAATTAATGGAAAACTGGTTAAGATCCGAGATCTGAAGGGAAGATCTGGTGGCAAATTTGTGTAACAACAAAGTAATATGTATAGCAACAGGACAAATTCTTTGAAAGGCAGAGCAAACACAGAAATGATTGGTGAGACATAGGTGAAATTGCTGCAATGCTATTTCTTGAGTAGCTTCTAAAGCAGTACATCAGAAGCATTGATATGGGACAGTTTAAACAGTACAGACTTACCTAACACTTTAAGGAAGTGAAAAGAAATACTTAGGGCCCTGTTTATTTTGGTATTGCTATGGTGACCTTTCAGTATTACTTTAATGTACCGAATGTTTTTGGTGTGTTTTATAGTTACTTGACTGGAATGTTGGCATGTTTTATTTCTTAAAATGAAATGGTAAGGCTTTTTTTCTGGACCTAATGGATACTTCCACAAATAAAAGTATCCAATTTCTTTCTTAGAAAAGAGTATCCTGATATACAAAGTTGGACTGGATTAACAGTATTTTAGGTTTGTAAATTATCTCTATTCTTAAGTAAATAATTCATTATTGAAGTGTCATCTTCAATTTGCATTTCAATTCCTTCATTGCAATAAAGGTACAGTGATACTTAAAACATAAACAAAAGTGTTAATTTTCCTTTTTGTTCAAGCTACAAGGTATTTATAGTATTTAACAAGCAACTATGTATAGTTTTCCCAGTTTACAAGAGAGTAATAGTGAGGATGAAAGCATGATTAATAGTTAATAATGAACAAAAACAACCTCATTACACTAAAACTGGGTGGCAGCTCTTCTGAAGAACCCATTCAGATTTTTCAGGAAGTTTAATTGTACAGTATGTAGGTTATTTAAAACCATATTGCTACTTGTTCCTGTTGTAAGCATGTCTAGTTCACTTTATATGTCTTGGAAATCTAATGAAAAAATGATTCTTGCTTATACTATGGCAGTATTTTAAGCTTTAGGTTTATTAATGTAAATTTGCAAGCTCTGAAAAAAGTTAGACTTTTTGAAGTTTTAAGTACTGAAACTATGTAAAATGCTAAATTGAAATGAACAACGGTTTTATTGTAACTACTGTGTGGGTAGTTTTACATTCTGAGCTAAATACCATAAAGGAACCTGAATAAATTTAGTACTTGAGAACAGTAAACAATATATAATAAAATACCAACTTTTCTTAGTTCCTTTGTCCTGCACATTTAAAAAAAGCATCTAGTCATTTATAGTAAGATTACAAATCATATAATAAATTATAAAACAGCAATATATGTCTTTTTAAAAGGTGTGACGAGATCACCAATTGGTCACAAACAGCACAGATACAGTAACACCCTCTCATTCCTGACCTCAGTGATGCCCTGATATTCTTGTCATTAGTGCTGTGTGATCTAGGTCACTGCTGACGAGATGATCTTTAAAGTTCTTGAAATCAAGGAAAAACGTAGTGGAAACTGCATCAGAAAGGGAAATATCTGAGGTCTTGATCTGAGTGTTTTTCCTTTCAGCCAGTCCAACAGGAAACTCCCTCTATAACAACGTCTGTTTTCTGTCTCTGAATCCTGGTTATTCTAAAAATATTCTTTCTGAAAACCCTCATATGATTTTGGTTTTCTTTAAAAGAAAAGACTTCCTTAGAAAAGTGCAACATATTCTCTGATCCATGAAAGCAAGCACTTTTATTTCACTTAAATTGTAGGATTTAAGCTATGAAACAAAATATTTAAAATGTGTATTTCTTAATGTCTTTATGAATGGATTTCATCATAATTTTGTTTGTGTCATTAGGGTTATCATATACAAGTTTAGAATATGCAGTGATGTAAAACTAATCTTGTCAACGTGAAACTGGGTTCCTTTAAGCCAAAAATGTGAAATCTCCTTTGAATCCTGGCAAATAACATTTGTGTTACTTTCCAATGTATTAAGTATCTTTGTTATACGGTATAACAGGAAATACAGTGTACACCACATTTACTATAGAATTAAATGATCTAATGGCGTTCTTGCTACCAACACTTTTTGTCAACACTTTTTTATTTTGCTACATGAGAGAAAAAATATTCAGTCATTTCCTGGATGATCACATTACTGTATTAGCACTGTGTAAATCCTATAACACTGCAAATTAAAGTAATTATATGAATGTTCCCATTGCACTATAAACAGATACTATAGTTCAGATGCTGAGACTTGAAATAAAATGTCATCTAACATGTATAAAACAGTTTATACAAAATAACATGAGTAGTGCACAAATTAAGTATTGGTATTATGTATAGCATGTCAGATATAATACCTTAAGTGGGAACAAATTGAAGCTGTTTCAATTGTTTTGCTACTGCACTATTTTTGTATATTATTATTACTGTTGGTCTTCCGTTACCAGTTACGAAGCATCCAATACTTGTTGTAGAATAATTGTATTGATATCACTGACATTATCATTTTCAAATAAAGATATATCTTTCAGAAACAGAATGCTGTTGTTTACTTGATACTTTCCTATTAAAAAGTTTAATACAGTGAAATGAATAATTTGTATTATTTGTATTTTTTAACTATGGTATAATAAACGGCAAGCAGATTTGATAACAAAATATATTTTATTGAATTCTGCATGTTTGGGATCTTTACTTATTCACTGAAACATGATCATTTAACACAAAGGGGTCCAGGTTTAGTAAAGTGTGTTTGTAGTTTCCATAACTGTGCCACTAGATGGTGTGAAAGTTGTACAGAAGTTAACAAAATCTCCATGGACAAGCTTTCTTATTTGATGTTTTTTATTTTAGTTAAAAAGTCTAATATAATGGTCCTGATCTTGTGGACCATTTGGTTTTATTCTTGTAATTATTTATATTATTGAAAAAGAACTATTGGATGGCAACCTACAAGTAAAATACACAAATATATATTAGTCTATGGCTAAGTAAACAGATTAAGATTTTTCACTAATTGTGGACAAGCCTTGAGCTACGAATACCAAACATATGGCTTCATGTCTCTTTTAGTTAAAAATAAAAAAATAAGTTGCTTACACTTCATGACACGAAAACAGTGCACTTTACTTAATGACAGCTTTTGAGTAAAACTCTGTCCTCAGAGTGAATATGTTGTCCTGAAAAGAATGTTCCTGAAGTCTGAAGCCCATTTAAAAAGATAAACATAATTTTCAAGTTTGATGGTTCATTTATGCCTTCTGGAAGAATGCAGATCATTCCACTTCTGGTTCAGAGTTTCAGAAATGGAAAGCAGATGTCTTTCATGTAAATGGGCCCAGTTTGTTAAGTTCACACACGACAGGCTCCTATAATGGCTGTCTGGGAAGATGTACAGTTTGCAACTGAGAAAACACTGAGCTAAAAAATGGATGATATATAAACATTTAAAGGGGAGAGTTAATTCAACCTCTAGGTGATAACATTAATTGCAGTCACGTCTTTATACTTGTGTTTATCTTTCATTTATTTGGCATTGTTGGACTGTGAAGTTATTCGTCTAGATGAATGTGATATTTTATTTTTCTGAGAATCCTTCTCCATGGTGTGCAGCATTTGTGTCTTTTAGTGCTGTCTATCTAGGCGATTAGCTCATGTACAATGAAAAACAATAGTTGGATAGTTGGATTGCAAAAAAAGCCAGTCTTGTACTGTTCTATGGTCTCTATAGTAAAGCTGGAGTCATTTTTCCAAGTAATAAGCAATAAAACTTGATTTTCAGTCAAGCGAAACTGCATGAATAAAGAAGGAAATTCATGCTTATTTGAAACACATGCGAAGACTTATAATTATAAGAAAAATATTATGACATTTCAAATTGTTTTAAAAGCTTCCATTTTTATAGATTACTTAGTTTTGCACATGGCTAACTTAACCATAACCCACAACATGGTGGAAAATCTAGATTATTTTCTTGTATCAGTTTAGGGGTATAAACCTTTGATTGTGTTTAATTGGGATTTGAAAGCGTTCAACGTCCAAATATATGTAACACAATGAATGGACTAAAAAAAGGTTTATCAGTCATAGTATATTTTGTCTTTCTTCTTTACAGCATGGAATTACCTTTGCCTTTCAGGATGCCATTTCAGATGGTCTGTGGATGAAATTATTTTTGTGGCCAATATTGTGGCAAATATTTTGTGTGGCCTCTGGCTATGTACAATAATACTGGTTTTCGTAATTTTAGAATAAATGCACTCTGTAAGGTACCTTCATTGGGTAGTGAGTTTTAAGGAAAGGTTCATCCATGAAAACCAAGGAACTTTAAAAACAACTAAGAGATAAACCTCTGTAAAGCCACAGATCAGGGGTTACGATATGAACACATTTCAAAGACCCTTAATATCTCTTTCAGTATGGTCAAGTCAATCATTAAGAACAGGAAGGCACCTAGACAGTGCAGGTATACCTCCCAATACCTCTTTCATCATTGTAATGTTAATCATTAAAAATTGATCTAGACACTGCCTAGATCAAGCTGTTCCTCCAATGAGAGCAGCCAGGCAAAGAGGAAAATGGTTAGGGGTGCCCTGCAAGGCTGACAGTGACATGGGCTGAGATGGACAGATGAGAGAAAAGGTCTATGTCTCGGCAATATCACTGTCACTCCAAAAAAACTGGCCTGTAGGCAACTGGTAAAAAAACAACAACATCTCAAGTCCTGCCTGGTCCTAGCTTATACTGCGAACATGTGACAAAAGGTTTTGTTTTCACACAAGCTAAAAGTGGAACTTTTTGATCTACAGGCAAAGCAATATATCTGGCAAACTCAACACAGTGCATCGCCATCACAGCTTTTAAGAATGGTGGTGTCATCCTTGTGTCATAGTTCTGTTCTCTTCAGCAGGGACTGAGAAGCTTGTTAAGACTGATGGGAACATACAAATGTAGCAGAAACATGCTTCTAACCTAAAACTGGGACAAAAAAGTACTTTTCAGAAGAACAATGATCCAGGGCACAAGACCAAAGCTGCAGTAGAGTTGCTATAAGAAAGTGAATGCCCTTGAGGGGCCAAATCCTGATTTGATTCCTACTGACACTCTGTGGAAAGATTGAAAACTGCCATCCCAAGCAATTTGAGAGAGCTTCAGCAAATATGCCGAGAAAAATGGACAAAAATGACACCAATCTGTTGTGAAAGGTTGGTTGAAGCTGACCCAAGAAGACTTGTTTTCACTGCTAAAAATGCTTCCACAAAACATAGTGTACATAAGTCTAACTACATATGCGAACAAGATATTTCAGTTTTTATCTTTATTGTTTGCTGAAATTTACTGTAACCTATCTTATCCATAGAAGTCTTCACTTTGAGGGCTGCAATTTTCAATGACTTCCTGTCAGTGATGAGTTAAAGTTAGCTCTCCCCAGTAGTCTCTCTGGTATTAGGTGCTCTGGTATTAACCAGTTGAGAAGCGGCTCAAGGGCAGATGTCATCCTCGCACTGCCACCACCATGGTAGCCATGGCAACGTTGCTTTTCGCCACACGTAGCCAGTGACTCAAAGTTTCACAACTACACAAGTTTGTTTTGTGGGATTTTAGCTGACCTGCAGCGGGGTTTCTTTTGTCGGCCCAGGTTTTACACTACTCTGAGGAGACTGTAATCTGAAATCTATAACCAACACCTAGGGCACGGTCATTCTGGAACAGGACACCCAGCCTTCGGTGACACCATGAGCTGATCAGGGTCCCAGGAAGAGTCATGTTTTAACCATTACCTAAATCTTAACTTGAAGGCTAGAGTACGGTACGTTAAACCATGAACCTAAACTGTTAACTTTGAAACCAGTATGAGATCCTAACCATTACTTGATCACAAACCAACACATAACCTTGGGAATGAGTCCACCACCACACTCCACCCATCACCCTTAATCGTAATTATACACAACAGAGCTACAGCCGTTACTGTTAGTCCTTAAACCATGTAACCTAAACCATATGTATAACCTTGTAGTCTCTAGACATAGCCACCAGGTGTGTTCTCCAGATATTAGCCGTGCATTTTCCTGTAATGCAATGCCCCCCGGGATTCTTCCACAAACATGTTTTCCCATTCGCCATTCCAGGGAAAACTCTCAGCAGGATGCTGAGGTCAGGGCTTCCATTTCCTCAGGCTCCCAATCCAGGGAGTGCTCCTCTGATACCATGAGGAGCTATCCACAGCAGGATCCCTGAAATCTTCGCTCACAGACTTCAGGCTCAGGGGTCCTTAATAGCCGGCTCCTGTACACTGTGGGCTTACGACTCAGGACCTTTCTCTCTTCCCCAACTGCGCAACCTCCACTTACAGCCCTACCGCCACCCTGTTGCAGTATCCGACCATGCTGTCACAATCTTCGCAATGGCAAAAAAAACTTTCTTGTGTGACAAGAAAGACTTTACACAGCTTACATTTCCACCCCTTTATTTCCACGCCACTTTTCTGTCAGAAAGACCACGTGTTCTCAAATGGAGCTACTAAGCATTTGATGCACTTGGTAAAGCAGCAAATCTTCATTAATATAAAGCAAGACAGCTTTAATGTTTTTTGTACTTTAAATAATTTGTGTTTGATTTGTGGTACCATACTGTATGATATGGCAGTTTTTGTCTGCCTCCTTCTAAAAGCCCAATACAAAAATTTGCCTTGTCTTTGTGAATGTAGAAAGCATTCATAGTGTAACCCGGAGAATTCACACCTAAGCATTTCTCCCCCCCCCCCATGTTTCCTCCACTGTAATCAGAACAGAATGTCCTTCAGTGTGTTTTTATTCACTGCTTGTTCTCTTACAACTTCTAATTAAGCATTTATCACCTTTAGAAATTGCACCATTAAAGCGTTCTTTCAACAGTACTTCATAAAAAAGACATTAGATTTGCCACTGTTGTCCTCAGTTTTTTTAAACCTTTTTTCTACAAGGAATATTTTTGATAGCAGAAACCCTACAGGGGCTTTTATGTAGATTCCATAGACATCACGTTTGCACCTAGTGTTAATTTTCTTAGTTTGTCATAAATACATTTTCTAGAACAGTCCTGGCAATTCTGTTTTTCATTGTTGGTCTACGAGTTTTACATTTCTGGGACGTCAGCCTATGTTTCAATAACAAGAGGTTCTTGCCCACTTCCACCTACCTACCGAAAAAGAAACCAGCACTGATGTCTTGCAGGTCTCTTAGCCCTTGGCCACGCAAAACCAGCTTCCACCTACTCCTTCCAGTCACAGCTGTCTGCTCACGGCTCTTCTGCATCTCTCTAAGTGCAACGTTTTCCGTGCAAGCCTCTCCAGTTTGACCCCCTTACACCTTGGAAACAGCCCAAATCGTCATGCGACCTTCCTCATTCGGTCCCGTTGACGCCACACCTCCATGGAGCTCCAGCAAAACTGCTCCCTCCAGGGCCGGGCCGCCCTCTACGTTCGTCCTTTCTTTCTCTCACCCCACCTACTGTTCACCAGGAGTGTGAAGGCAAAGGAGAGTGTAAAAACAATCATTAAAAACATCTTTTGCTTTCTCATGATACTATTTTGTTTT